TAAAGGAGTGGTTGACATATTCAGTGCCTCCATCACTTTGAAAATATTTAATGGAGACGTTGAAAAGATTTTTGGCCATAGCAACAAAAGTTTGGAAATGGGTGAAGACCTCAGATTTCTGTCTCATGGGATAAATCCATGAATAGCGAGAGTAATCATCAGTGAACAATACGTAATAACGAAAACCAGAAATAGAAGTAGTAGTGGACATCCAAACATCAGAATTTACTATAAAAAATGGGGTAGTAGCCCTTGCATTATTCAATTGAAAAGGAAGTTGTGTAGACTTGCCTAAAGCACAACTTTTACAAAAAAGATGGGAAGAAAAAGACTTAGAACCTAGACTAGAGCTGAGACGAGACAAAACAGAGGACGAAGGGTGACCGAGACGTTGGTGCCAGAGGTTGGAGGATGACGCAGCAAGGGCTTGGGGTGATGAGAGCGACAAAGGATAAAGGTCATCTCTACAGGGGCCCTGAAATAATAAGGAACCAGTGTGTAAGTCATAAATGCGGTAAAAAGAAGGAAAGAAGCAAAGGACGATGTTGTTATCATGGGTAAAACGTGCAACAGAAAAGAGATTCTTACGTAAAGACGGAACAAGAAAAACATTGCGAAGACTAAACGGAATAGAGTTGAGAGAAATAGGAATTGTACCAGTGGATGTAATGTTTAGAGAATCACCATTACCCAACTGAACGGAAGTAGGACCACGATAAGGCTGGGGGTGAGAGAGAGCATTGGGATCGCCCGTCATGTGATGGGTAGCGCCGGTGTCAGGAAACCAAGTGGTGGGATCCGGATAGTGGACCACCTGAGAGCCCGCAAAGGGAGGGAAGGAGTCGGGGCCGCCATAACGATGTGGGCACTGAGTAGCACTATGCTGTGAAGTGGAGCAAGTTGGGCACCAAGGGCCGGGACCCAACAAACCAGAAGTGGGGCGACCAGGGAAACCACGCGGGCCAGGCCAGTGAGTCGGAGCAGGTGCGCCGAACCATGGTTGCTGAGAGGTAGGAGGAGGAGGCCCATTCCAATTTTGGTGGTTACGGGAAATTTGGTTTCTGCCAGAACGCCAGTTAGAAGAAGAACGCTGCTGGCCGCCGGAGTGACGCTGGGAACGACCATTCCAGTTTCCAGTGCGAGGGCCAGATGACTGAGATGGAGCACGGGGTTGGTGGGTGGTGATGAGAGCAGTTTGAGAAGCAGCGGGAGCGGGGGAGATGCGCAGAGTTTGAAGGTCAAAAGCTTCAATTTTGGAGGTCAATTCCTCAAAGGTAGGAAGAGGGGTGACATTGATGATAGCAGTGGTAAGGGTAAGGTAGTCAGATCCAAGGCCACGAAGAACAGCGGTGATGAAGTCTTCAGGATCAACGGGACGACCGATAGCAGCAAGTTTGTCAGCAAGAGATTTAGCATGCTGAAGATAGTCAGCAATAGGGCGAGATCCTTTGGAAAGATCAAGCAGTTGGTAACGCAGGGCAGCGGAGTTGAGAACAGAACCGTGGGCGAAGCGCCGTTGAAGACAAGCCCATACGGCTTGAGCAGAGTCATGGCCTACAGTAAGAGCAAGGACAGGTTCTGTCAAGGTGGCGGTGATATAGCTGACGACTAACTGATCGTGTTGGTACCATTGGGCGAAAGCGGGGTTGGGAATGATGGAGGTAGTAATCACGGAAGAACTATCTGAGTCAGAAGCGGCAGAAGAAGGGGTGAGAGTAACGGTGAGGGTGGTCGGTGGAGGTGGGTGGGAGCCATCAACAAACTTCCACAGATCATGACCCACAAGAAAGGGCTTGATCTGACGAAGCCAGGTTAGGTAATTGGAGTCATTAAGTTTAAGAAATTGGGCAATAGCAGGGCCAGGAAGCGGGGAGGTAAAGGACATGATGGGAAGCAGGATCGAAAAGGGTGGTTAAACCGGGGAAAGGGATGATACCATGTAGAAATATAAAAACTGTAAGACTATAATATTAATGGAAGTTGTACTTTTCATTAGTAATCACTGAGTATAAATACACAAAGTCTGTAAGGTTTACAGAGAGTCCTAATGGGACTGGTTAACTCGTAATACAAGTTCTGTTGGGATTACAAAACTCCAAGATAAGATAGGAGATAATCATGCTAACTATGACGAGAGGAAGACGTGGAGGAGTCTCTGCTAACAAGTTCCAATCAAGTTCCTCAAAAAGAAATCGTCACCAACTAGCGGAAAATCTGATACCACTCCTGAAAAAACCTGCTAGGTTGCTATATTTTAAACATGGCTTCCTTTTTTCCTCTACAGTTATTTTGATATATATTTAATATCCATCTAACTGTATTATTTTCTCTCTTTTTCCTAGCTTGCTTGCTTAAGGATGAACGATGCAGTGGCAAAACTCTATCTCCGATACTGAAACGCATTAACCGTTTTTTGTCAATATGTATCAAACAATATTGCTAATATTTGCCTGCCATGTAAATGTCTCTGGTCTGGACTTCATAATATTTTTTGCATGTACATAAACCAGCATTCATTAATTTTTTGTATGTAAATGCTGGTTCCACTTGAGAGGTAGATGCAAGTGGTAGAATCCAATCAATCACTGTATTATTTTTTGTCTATATGTAAGGAAACAGGTTTTAATCCTTTGTATCTGGATTGTACAAATTTAATATTTTATGTATAAACCACTTCCAACATCTTTGTTTACGGTGATGTAAATATTGTGTGATCTACTTTTTACATCTCTCAACAGAGTGTTGCACAGAATTTCCACAACTACACTCATTTTGAACTTAGTTTGGAGCAACATTCGGTATACCTTTCTTTTACAGTCAGTTTCATTCGTTTATATTTGAATCAACAATTTTTTTACGGATAATGATTCTTCCAACTGCTCATAAATTGATTCTTTTATTTTTGTTGCAGTTTCGAGCGTTGATCTATTGAACAAACAATACGTCAATCAGCAATGTGGATTTTTCTCAACATATGACCATCAAATCTTCGTATGTCTTTCATCATATTTCCTCCCTTACAATTATAGAACTGTTATGTTTCTCATTATAATAATGCATTGAAAACAATATTTACATTTCTCTGTATCCAATCCTTGCTGATAAACTAATTCTTTGTTCAAAACTTGAACCATAAATGTTGTGACCTATTTCTCTGTATACAATTCATAGAACTGTTAAGTTTTTTCTATGTGTGTCACTGCTAAAATTCAAATTCATATATTTCGGTAAGAAACAAACTTTTATCTATTCCTTGAGTTAGGCAGAGTTGTAAATAGATTGAGTTAAGCAAAATTGCAAATATAACTTTCTACATGTTGTATGCTATTTAAAAACCCACGGCATCGCGCGGGCACCGTTGCTAGTAAGTTCTATAACCAAGACATGAAGGGGAAAAAATTAAAATAAATCTTATTTGTAACTAATACACGCTACAATGTAAAGCACTCGCTAATAATGTTTACATAATATATACTTGAATTTACTACATAAAATTTATCGAATATGCATCAGAATAAAAACACTAATTATTAGTTTACAAATTAGTTCACTATGGAAATAGGTATCTACCAAATAATAATTAAAATGTAGCAAGTCTTGCAAACACATAAAATATATGCAAATGAAATGCATGAATGTCACTCCCTTCTAATCCCACTAACACATGCCTAAGGCACCCAAGCCAGCACGTTCCATACCATACTTATACCACTTGGCTCTGAATACCTTAGAATAAGAGTTAACTCCCGTTCATTTCTTAAGATCAACTTTTGTGATTTAAATTCTTAATTTCCACTTTATTATATAGACATTTCGCCCGAAGCCCAATTGTATATTTGTGCCCTTCCTCCGATGCATGACATATTCAAGGTTTCAGAATATATATCCAAGGCTTTTTCCAACCCTTGAATATCTTCACAACTCTCACATTTTACACAACTGAGCAATTGATATAGCACAACACTGTTTTTCTTGCTTTATGCATATATATGTAATATGCAACATTGACTTCAAGAATCACATGCTATATTGCTATATGATAATTTTATAAACAAACCAAAAAAATGAAACACACAAATAAATTATATAAATAATAGTAAGGGAGATTGATGAGAGTTGATGATAAGATTATATATCTTACCATCATTCTCTCTTTTTTCATCAAGCAAGCTGTTATAGTTTTTTTTTTTCCTTATTTTTGAACCCTTCCTTTTACTTTTACATCCTTTTGAATCCACCACTCATCACTTCCACCGTTCCACTAACAGAATACTTCACACTCAACTTTATGTTTGTGCCATCCCATAACTTTTGCTGCCTTTCATACAGGGTTCCCCACAAAACACCCCTTGCTCATCATCTCACACTTTGTCAACTCCACAGTCAAGGGTTTGGTGATGGACACGTTGGCTAGAACGGAGCAGTTCTCTTGGACGGTGAGCGCCTTAATAGTATGTATGATCTTAGTCACAACGTCGTCGTTGTCCTCCGTGCCCCGGCTTTCACTGCTTAGTGTGACTAGCCAAGGCCGACGATGGTGCTAAACTAATAAGCTTTTAACTTCCAATTCACAACCGCGCTTAAGCGAGCCATAATTTGTCTTAAGCATTCATTCTTTAGCCATTAATTCAACTGAGATACTTTTTAAGACACGTTAATTCTTTCGAGGTATCTCGAGACTTGATATTGGACACAAACTAGGGGAATTGGGAGTTTCCACTGAAGCCCAAATCCAACTCGATCAAAATATCCCCAACACAAAGCAAGTGGAGAAGAAGAAAAAGAAGAGTGCGAGGGAGAATTTTTGAGCAAGAGAAAGAGGTTAGTACTTTTATAATTACATCACTTCTAGGTTTCTAGCTATATAGTTCTTGAGCTAATTTTTAGTCTTAGGCTATCTCCACTGTCTTTTTTTTTTTTTTTTGAACAAACGATATTATCTAAACTAAGGGGAAGGAGGTGGGCTTAGCCTCACAATGGGCTAGCAATAATGCGGTTCAAACTCGCATTTGGCGAGATTCGAACCTAAGAGACCTCTGACTTACAAATGAAGAGGAATACCATTACACCGTAGTACTAAGTGGCATTTCCACTGTCAATGTTGTGTTGTCATCAGTCATCAGTCTTTCTCAATGAACAACGACCTGGACGACAAATTGGAAACTGTGAATTCAGTTGCTGTTGGACAATGCTGCATTAATGTTTGTGAAATTAAGTTACACCACATCAGATCGAGGAGGCTGTGAAATTAATGTTTGTGAAAACCATTGATGATAGTCTTATTAAGTCAACATTCTGATAATATAATTAGGGTCAATTCTCAATGCTTGCTAGCGTGCCGTAACGTATTAATCGTTGTTGCTCTTCTCCTCCTCCTCTCTTGTATCTGTATCTTATCTTTGAGCATTTGGCTGCACTAGAATTAATATTGCTTTCTTCAATTGGATATAGTATATATTGTATACTAATTTAATTAATTTCTTGAAATTCTAGCAACATATATCTCATGTCTTTTTCTTTTCACCGGGTTCTTCATCACTTAATACGTTTTCGCATCTAACTGATTTTTAATAAATTTGTACAACTTTTTTCTCAGCATTTGATGTACTGAAGATATGCATGCAGCTGCTTGAATTTAGTTGATTATTGTTATTAGACCCATAATCAAGAGTATCTAGATCCAAATTATTATATGCTATATAGTCAATAAAAAAAAATAAAGAGATTATCATATCAGTCATCTATGCATAACTCGTGGCAGCAAACGCTGTCTAGGTTGATACGGACTCAGGTCTTTGCACTGGCGGTGATAATTGAGTCTAGAGAAGGAAGCTACGAACCTGTTGTTGTGGTTTGGGTAATTCCATCTCCTCCATCCCCGCACATAACTGCATTTCGCTAGGATACAAAAAGGGTCTTCTGTCTTTATATACAAAGTAAGAGTCCACATGCCCAATCCAGGAGTCTTTTTCTGTATCACACTGGCAAGCTATTTCCTCACTCAAAATCTTTGCTCCCTTGGAAACTTCTTGTGCTGCTGGAAATGGAGAGCCAACACTCTTCTGAGCATGATCCAGACCATAGAAAGGCATCAAGCAAGCACGGAGCGTGAAGCAAGGAAAGTGATATCCCGGTACAGCTATGTTCAACCGTGTCTCTTGAAGCAGTTTCAGCTTTCTTCTACTTTCTAAGTCATAGCGAAAGATCAGCTTTCGAGTGCCAAAGAACAGCACATGAGAATTTGGACTTATTGCAAACGGTACCAGAGTATCATGACGTTGATTGTACTTGCCATCCGAAGCGAAAAGCACTTTCATTCTTAACGCCATGCCACACACACTATATCTGAGAGTCCATCTATCACCAGATTCACATCCTGGTCGATCATCATAAGACCAAAAATAAAAATTATCTGAAGCATCACGGTTTACATAACAGACAAGGTCCATTGACACCCCAAGAAGACATCCCACCATTGTTTTATCATCATCGTCATGGTCCTCCTCCTCAAGGACAGGACGAGGAGGGAGTTGAAAGGCACGAGCTTCGACAGTATTGAGATCAATACACAAAAGTTTCCCTGAGGTAGCTAAGCTGTATAACACCCCACGCAAGTAGAAAAATTTCCTGCAAAGTTTGAACCTTTTGAAGCCCTCAACAAAAGCGGGGTCAAGTCGCAACCCATGTCGAACCCACTGTCTAGAATGCGACGAGAAAATGTCCATTGGGGTGGTTGTGGTTATGGAGGTTGGTTGTTGCTGGGAATGGAAATAATCAATTCGAACAACTCTGTAGTGATCTGACTCGACAGGGTCATAAGCCAAGGCAGCACAGAAATCGGCCTCCTCGGCTTCCACTACAGGAAGAGGGATGGAGGCGTGTTGCTTAGTGATGGGGTTGCTCACACAAAACTGGTAAGTTGTTGGGTTGAACAACAGAAGTAACCCATTACAAGAGTCCCTGAGATTGTCAGAGAAGTCACGTCTCTGCCACCGACACAGTTTACCGCCCCAATCCACATGCGGTAACGACGATTCGGGGGACTTGAAGAAGGGATAATCATATAAATAGACCAAGGAGAGTAACTGATACATACCGTCGCAAGAGTGGATCGTACGGTAGAAAAGACCCAAGGTAGGAGACCGCGGCCAAAACATCTGCAGCCACACACGGGAGATTATTCGGTGCCATTGCCAGGACTTGGACACCATCTTGCACTTTACCAAATCCCTTTGTGATAATCTACACAAAACATTAAACAATGCATCCTCGCACCAACATAATAATGATAATAAATTGCTCCTCCTCATAACTCCTGAATCTGAAACTGAATTTGAATCTGAATCGTTAAGATTAACACTCAGATTCAGGTCAACGGCAGCCTCTGCCGGAGCCGGAGAGGAAACCATTGACGACGACGACTACCCCGCCGCCACCGCCACCGCCACCAGCTTTGACAGCAAAACCCTACCCTACCCTAGAATGAATGAATTCTGAAACTAAGCAATTAACAGAACAGAAACGTCGTCAATGTATTTCTTTTACGAGTAACGTATTCGTAATGTTTTGTGAGAAGCTGTAAAGGGCAGTAGTTCGTCGATCGATCTAGTCTCTAGATATAGCCCTAAACTCTTTTTCACTTTGCAGAAACCTCATTCACCAAATAAAGGGTAACCCACATGCTTTTATTCTTAGTTTTTTTTGGAGGCCTCCCGCACAATTTTTTTTTTTTCAGTTTTCAAGTTGAACAATTAAGTAAAAAAAAATTAAATTAAATAGGAGTATGTGATTGTGATACGTTGAAAGAGTGTGTTTCTCTTTCATTTTAATCTTCAGATTAAATAAATAAAAATAACATTACAAATTAAATAAGTGTATATAAATTGTTAAAAGATTTTGTGTTTATCATCTTTTTATTTATCCCTTCTCTCTATTCCTGTTTGGATTTACACAGGGAATTTACTTTCCTTGTTTTGGTATGACTAGGAATACGAAACTCATGCTAATAAAATATTAATTTATAACTTGAACGTTTGTATAATCACGCCAAGTCTATGCAAATCCATGCAAATTTATCATGCCAAAGTCATGTTATGACGTTCACATCATAGACAAATTGTGCCAACCACGTTATGTGCTAAAATGAGCCCAAGCCACACGTAGGGGCTTGCCAAGTGGATCGTAGTGTGGATGGCTAAGAAAGTTTATTGGGCCTACGTGAAACTAAGGTTATGGAAGACTTTGGGCCTATGTCTTATAAATTCTAGTCATGTAATCCAACCTTAATCTTAGCTGTCCAATTCAAACTAAAAATATCTCTAATTAAATATGAAATAATACTAACTAGTTTTGTAATAATTTTGTAGAAAAAGATCTTGCGTTGAGACTAGTTTATATATCAAAAGTATGAGTTCTTATATAAACATAGTGTAATAAAGAAACCCAAAGAAAAGAATTTATACTTGAAATAAAAATAATTACCACATACACGTGTGTAGGGGTGGGTTCAAAAAACCAAAAACCGAAAAAAATCGAAAACCAAACCGAACGAGGCCGAAAAAAATCAAACCGAAACTTTCAAACCGAACTTAATCAAATCTGGCCAGTTCGGTTTCGGTTTTTGAGGTTCGAAAACCGAACCGAACTGAACCAAACCGATATATATATATATATATATATATATATAATTATTTTTTTCAATGTTTATAAATAGTTTAGTCATACAATTATAATTAAACAGAACCTGTTGTGAAGTTGGTTTCAGTGAAACTTTCCAAGCTGGTGGAGCGCATGGGTTTGAACCCTCCTCATGCCTCCCGGATTTTGGAGATTCTTTTTTAATTTTTATGACCAAATCAACAAAACCCTAGCGCAGCCACACTTTTTCTATTTTTCATTCCCCTCTTCTCTCTCTATCGTTCCCTGCCTCCAGACTTCCTCCATGTCCATTTCTCCATTCTTCTCCGTAACCCGCATCCTCCTTTCTATTCCAAGCTTCATATTTGTGAGACCCTCCATGTCCATGCATCCAATTTCTCCATTTTCTCTATCTCGTCCCCTCTTCTCTCTCAGTCATCCCTCTAGCTCCAGCACCCATCCCCATGGCTGCGAGCATGCTGACCCTGCAACATCCCCTCTTCTCTCTCAATCAAAAGGTATTCAATTTTAGGGATTTAGGAAGAGTAACTTAGGGTTTTCTAGACTTAGGGATTTGGGTTATTGATTTGCAGTTAGTGTATGAGATTCAATATTTAGATTTTGTGCTATCCGTGAAGATGTGATAGAGTTTCATTTTAGTTATGGAGAAAAAAAATGGGTGGAGATGAATAGAGGTGTATGCTGCAGATTATGTCTTGGTTTTAGATTCAATAGACGGACATAGAGCAAAGAAAGTATGGGTTGTAGATCATGCGTGGGGATGTAGATTATGTATCTGTGTTTGTTTCTTTCCATCTGATTCAATCCAAGTTTTTTATTTTATTTTTATTGTGTTGGATAAAAGATTCATGTTCTGACAAAAAAAATTAGCTTTTCCCTCTCTATATTTTGCTGCATCAATACCAGCCCACAAATCCTGCAAACCCTAAATGAATGTAATTGTTGTTGATTTGTAGATGAAGATAGTGGTTTGATCAGTACCAATATCCAGATTTACCAAAAAATCGAACTGGGCCGAAACCGAACAAAAAAAAACTAAAATCGAAAAAAAATTGAACCGAACCAAAATTTCGGTTTGGTTTCGGTTTTGGCAAAAAATCGAACCGTTTCAAACTGAACCCAGCCCTACATGTGTGTGTGTGTAGTTTGTTTTTAAAATATGGAGTATTACAATCAACCCCCCTTAAAATAAATTTCGTCCCAAAAATTTGTAAAACCTTAATCGTTTTATAAATAAGGTAAACAAATATAAAAGACATAGAAAAATATATCACAAAAATATAGTAACAGTTGAAGAACATTAGTAAAGTGTTTAGTTAGAGTGGCTGCATGGAGACTACCCTTCCATATAAAATGGATTGCAATTCTCCAATTACTATGTCTCCCCAACTCTAGCATATAAATAGTGATAGAAGTACTGCAGGTTCACAAACTAATCATGAACATCACCTACATATTACTACTGGTAGCTAGTTAGTATAGTTAGAGTTAGTTTTATGACCAGCTGTTGAACAATAAAAATACATGACATATAAAAAATAGAGTCCATGTAAATTGGGCCAAACTACAAGGCCGAAAAAAAAACAAAATGCAATCCAACCCAAAAGATGAGGATGGGCCTTACATACAAAAGATGAGGATGAGCATTACATACAAAACAACATCCAGAAATAAACAAATAAAAAAAATAAAATATGAATTTCTTCCTACAAAAGGGGGAAGAAAACGTGCAACACAGAAACCTCCTTCTCTGCAGGGTGTGAAAAAAAACTGCACAAGTTAGTGGGGAGAGGTTAAGTAAAAGTGGCAGGAGATCATGGCCTCCAACTTCCCCCACGTAGCAAATTCTAGAGCTTTCCTAGGATGCCTATAAATAAGCATCACCTGCAGCAAGTAAAAGGAAAAAAGACAGAAAAAAGGAAGGGGAAACTCTGCAGAAAATAGAGAAACTTTGAGAGAATACCAAAAGCAACGAAGTGCTGCCAGAAAAGAGAAGGAATTCAATCTTTCGTGCTTTCGAAGTCAAGAACCAAAGAAGAATATTCATCACCAGGTATAAAAACAAAGGAAAACTAATGAAAATGGCTTGAAAACTTTGAGTTTTAATGATAAGGACAAAATAAAGGGTAAAATGAATAGTACTAGGATTGACTTTTTAGTGTAAAAATGTGGTTTTTCGTTAAAGTGAACAGTACCGGGTGCTTTTCGTTAAAGTTCCCTAAAAACAAAGCCCTGTTAAATTTATTTTTCTCTTGATTTTTGTTATGTTATACATATATACAAGAAACAGAGAAGGACGCGAAAGAAGAAACACAAAAAAATGGCAGCCGAAGACCACCAGGCAATGGTCCATGACATTCCCCTTCATTTGACAATGGTCCACAACGCAAGGAGAAAAAAAAACAGAGAAGGACAAATCAAATGTTCTAATATTTCTTTTAGTTTTTTTTTTGTGTCCTTTGTTTCGTTGTTTGGTATTTTTTCTGCACCAAACATATGGAGGTGGAGATTCTGAACCACTAACTGCAGCAGAAATGATCTCCAAAAATCCCATGAATTTCTTCGGGGTGGCCTAGACCACCCCGTGAAGTTCCAATCAAAGTCTAAGTAACCCATACCTGCCGTCCGTACATTATGCGACTTGAAGTAGATGGGTTTGGCAAATGCCGTGTTGCATAAAGCCAGACGAAACTCATTCTTTGCGGTCAATGAGAAAACAGATGCATTTGTGGACAAATAAACAAGGGAAAAGAAGCAAAATGCAACTTTTGCTCCCCTTGACTAACTCATATTTGGTCTCTATGAAGAAAAGTAGCAAGGAAGCAACATTTACCAAGATGAAACTCGAGAGGAAAGAAATTATCGTGTTTGGTGTTTTCTTTGCTGCTCACGGGTACAAGATATGGAGCATGCCTTTGGCTAAAAATCCTATGAAAACTTATTGGGGATAGAGTCCAAGAAAAAGGAAAAATGGAAAAGATGGTTTGCAAAGGAAAAGAAAGCCTAAACTCCCCTTGACCGACTCATGTTTGGTCTAAAGTCCACAAAAGAAAGTCCCCAATTCAACCATTGATAAAGACAAGGAAAGAAAGGAAATTTCACAATCTTTAAATAGATAGCTAAAAGAAATTTGCTTCTCTACCACGGAAAAGTTGGATTAAAAAAAAGGTTCAGGCTGTCTCAAGTTGAAAAAAAAATGGCAAGCATCGAAGACAAAACATAAATGGGAACACAAAAAAGGGTGTCCAAATGCTACTGTCAAAGCCAGTCAAGTAAAATCTCTTTGTGGAAACAGAAATACCAGAGTGATAATCACACATGAGTACGTCAAAACTCATTCAAAATATGGCAGATATTATGAGTACGTTACTACAAATTTCAGAGTACAAACTCTCACATTCGGAGCCATAAATCAACAATTGTCTTCAACTAACTCGGGGCTGCAAAATGGTTTTGTCCAACAACCAATCGAAGAGATGTCGTTTCCTGGGACTCCTGCACGAAATAATTGATAAAGTTCATTGCAGCTAGAGTTTCACTTCACTCCAAATACATAAACAAACCCAGAACATAAAGAAAACAAAAATGGGTAACCTGCTCGATTTCTTCCCCCTCTTTGTTTTGAGTTTTCGATCCGCAGAGGAAGCACACAAGCAAAAGAATAGGGCAGCAGGAAGATGAGAACTCTTGTGTCCTGCGTAAAGTGGGACTTTGCGGTTTAAAGAGAAATGACGGAAAATTGAAGTAATTGGAACAAAAAATTTAAACTCCAACAAACCTTACCCATTCCTACTCTGAAATCCATGGATACCCAATCCAAATAGAAGTTTGAAATGCAACGAAGTCCACGGAAGTCCAAATATAGTGGAATAGTCGCTTGCTTCTAAAGGAAAACCACCAGATTTCAAAGCCAAGGGAAAGTGGATCGCTGAAGCCATCTTACCGGGGGATGAGGATGCTAAATCCTCAAAACCATCAAGGAGAGGCACGGCAGGGATAAAAAATCAAAGCATGAAAAAGCAGGGGACCTAAAACCTAAAAAGGCATTTATAAAAAATGGTACTTTACCACTTGCTTTTATTAAACAATAAAGCAAAGATTTGCTTTGCTACTATACTGCCCAGTTAGTGTCAGGCATGAAGACAAGATGGAATGGTTCAAGACAAAGTAAATGAAGGCAAGTAAAAGAAAGAAAGGTTGCTCATCACGTGGGAAGTATGGACTCACCCTAAATACACTAAGATTTGATTATTAAAGGAAAAGGCATGGGTCATACTTGGCAAAAAACCATCAATTCATTTTTTGTTTTTGTTTTGTTTTGTTGCCAGTCATCATCTTTTGGGCACTTTTCTTTTGCCAAAGTCTGAACACAAATCCAAATCAAATATTTTTTATGAACTACGCCGGTTTGATTCCGTTAAGGATACGTAGGCAGTCTGATATCAAGTTTTAGACACAACCGTGAAACCGAAACGAATCCCTGGTTTATATAAACTAAATTCACTCCTGCCGTCAAATACCAAAATGGCACGAAGCCGAAGAAAGTTTCAAATGGCACAAAGCCGTATCAAATCCCGAGTGGCACGAAGCCAAAGAAAAGTCTCAAATGGCATGAAGCCATATCAAATTTTCTATGCTCCTCGCCCGCATGAGCTAAAACTGCACAAGGCATCAAATCCAAACAAGTACCAAATACCTGAACTACGAGCGACTTGATCCCTCAAGAGGGTACGTAGGCAATCTAGGATTCGACCTAGGTGCAGTCACAAAATCAAACAAACACCAAAATCCTCAAGTTACATTTTTATTCGAATTAGAATCAAAGGGTATTCCTTTCCTAAAAGAAGGGTTGTAATTAATAGGCGCATAGCCTAGAATGGGTCGAACTCAAATTAATAAAACCCTCTTCAGAAAAATGAACGAGGGTGAAATTGTGTCGAGTGAATTATTTGTTTACATATTATGTACAATTTTTGCTCAACACCAGCTGTTGCTAGTTGTTGCTAAGTTAAAGTGCTGAGTCAGCATTCATTTGGTGTATGTATAAATACTCTCTCGATGTATGATTCTGATTCATTAAAATGAAAGATTCAGTTTTTTTCACTTTCTATCATGATATCCCTCGCTGATGTCTAACGACGCGTCAATCCTACGCTTCCCCTTTCTCATACTTTCTTGTATTTTCTCACATTTTCTCGTATCCCAAACAGATCTCTGCTTCTCCAATTCTTCAATTTCTGCTGCAATAAGTTTGATTCCTCTCATGACGACAACTCTGAATTCTCCTAATTCCTCTTCTCCAGGAAATTCTTCTGGTAATACTCATCACAATGAGGTCCCCAATCCTTTGATTGTTTCTCTCGGATCGATTACTGTTCAGAATATTGTGGGCATGGTACAAATGAAGCTCAACAGTCACAATTTTATCACCTGGAGCAGCCTCTTTCTTCCTGTTTTGAAGAAATTCAAGCTGTTAGGGCTTGTAAATGGCAAAGATCTATGTCCTCCTCAATTTTTTCTTGATTCAGCCGGATCTCGAGTTCTCAACGTTGCTTATGAAATCTAGTGTAAGCGAGATCAAATCTTGATGATTTGGATTAATTCTACTATGTCTGAAGATTTGCTACCTTTGACGGTTGGTATGGAGGATTCTCGATCTCTCTGGCAATCTCTCGAGTGTCGATTCGCTGGTGCTTCGCGCACACATGTTCAAGAATCTCAAGTATACTTCTTCCGATATTCAAAAAGATCTTGTCCGTGCATGTGCCATTGAAACTATTGGTGCAATTACTAAAGATATAGAAGGTACATTTTTTTTTCTTTTGGTTGATAGATCATGTGATTCTTCAACTAAAGAGAAAATGGCGGTGGTATTGCGTTATGTGAACAAGGAACGAAAAGTAATTAAAAGGTTTTTGGGTGTGCAACATGTCTCCTCTACAACTAGTAGCTTGCTTGAAGAGACCATTGAGAGATTATTTGCTTCAACAAATTTGAGTATGTCTAAGTTACGGGAACAGGGCTATGATGGAGCTAGTAATATGAAAGGAGAACAAAATGGCCTTAAAGCAAATATTTTGAACAAGTATCCTCAAGCATTTTATGTTCATTGTTTTGCACACCAACTTCAACTAGCTCTTGTAGCCGTTGCAAAGGGAATTGAGGGTGTCGCCATTTTCTTCAACAATGCTAGTATTTTGGTCAATATTATTGGATCATCGTGTAAGCGTCGTGATGCATTTAGAGAGAAACAACTAGAACAAATTAAGAAAGCTCTTGATATTGGTGATCTTGAAACGGGTAGAGGGTTAAATCAAGAGATTAGTCTCATGCATCCTTGTGATACACGTTGGAACTCACATTATGGTATTATAGTTAGTATTATTGTCATGTTTGAAGCTGTGGTGGTGGTGCTTGAATGGATTAAGGATGATACCAACCAAGACAATTTTGGTGAAGTAAGTAAGTTATTCCATGACATACAAACTTTTGATTTTGTGTTTCACCTTTTTTTTATGAGATTCATATTGGAAATTACAAATGAGTTATCACAAACATTACAAAAGAAAGATCAAGATATTGTGAATGCGATGGCGTTAGTGGAAGTATGCAAGCAAAGACTACAATCCTTGAGAGATGATGACTTTGGAGACTTGCTTGATGATGTACAAAAGTTTTGTCAAGAGCATGATATTGTTGTTCCTAACATGGAGGATTTGCGTTTTGTACCCGGAAAATCAAGACGTAAAGCTCTAAGACTCATAAACTTCCATTACTATCATATGGACCTCTATTTTCAAGTCCTTGATACACAATTAAAGGAATTGAATGATAGCTTCAATGAGGTAAACACCGAATTGCTTCTTTGTATGGCATGTTTGAGTCCAGTGAATAATTTTGCATATTTTGACAAAGCAAAAAGTGTTCGTCTAGCCCAACTTTATTCTCAAGATTTTGATTGTATGGACCTCATGAATCTTCCAATTCAACTTGACAATTACATTCACGATATGAAGATGCATAGTGAGTTTTCATCATTAAGATGAATTGGTGATCTTGCAAAGGAGTTGGTGAAGATCGGGAGGTATGCAAGCTATATGTTAGTGTATAAGCTTCTTACATTGGCTTTGATGTTACCAGTTGCAACCGCTTCGGTGGAGAGAGCTTTTTCTGCTATGAAAATTGTGAAAACACCATTGTGTAACAAAATGGGAGATCAATAGTTGAGTGATAGCATGCTTGTTTACATTGAGAGAGATGTATTTGCTTTTATTGATAATGAGCCTATTATGCGGCGTTTTCATGATATGAAACCTCGTCGGCAATAATTGTAATTTGTTTGTATTGATAAATTATGAAAGACATTACTATATAAAGGATTTGGTTGTTACTATTCTTTTGAACCTTGCACTCTTTTAACTTCGCCTATCCTCCTGTCAATTCCTGGTTCCGTCACTGGTTTCACAGATCCAGGACTCCTGCACAGATAGCACACATGCATGAGATAATTTTTCCTTGTTTTCTTTCTGACCTACACTTTGAAGAACGCTCACGAAAATCAGATATACGGGGAAGAACAATTACCTTTATGATTGCTGGGATTTCGAATTTCTGAGCCTCGGAAGTGTCGACATTTCCATGGCGGCAGTACAATCTGATGGTTGGGGTCATTTTTGATTCGAGAGGTCCGCCGTAGTTTTGATTTTGTGATGATGGTAGAGAATTGAAGTTTAGATAGGCTAAGGTTTGAGAGCAAGATGGAGAGAACCCTCACGGCTATGGGCTCAAGGTGAAAATGCTAGAAAGCAAGGGAGAAATGGAATGCTAAAACTTAATTTATACTAGGAGCTGTTAAGGTTTTGTCACGTGAACACTACACGGGTGGAGCTTCGCATTAGCATCAGCGCTCCTCGTTTCCTTCAGGCCACGGGTTCGAGTCTCCAAAGCAGTGAATTGGTGCTTTCTTTTTCATTATTTTTCTAGCGCATATTCTCCTTGCACCAGGTCACCACTTCGAATCTCAGGTGTGTCCGTTTCCTTGTCTTTTCTTTTATTTTCTGTTTTCTTTGTTATTTTATACTTTATTTTATTGTTTCTTTCTTTTATTTGCTATTTCTGTTTGGGTGCATTTTTGCTCACCCACATTAACTGGTGTATACTCACCATACACCTTATTAGTTGTCATATGTCCCATCTTCTAACCCTAGTAAACTTGTTAATTAATATATCTTTTTTAATTTTTAAAACTAATTTAAACATGATTAAATAAATAAACTCAACCCCAGAAACTTTTCAACTTCCCCAACCAGCCAACCCCCACCCACCCATGCCACCCTTTCAATCTTCTTGTTCAGAAGCCATAGCGAATCAGCCATCTCCGCCATCCCTCTTATTCCACTGTAACTCTAATTTATTTTATAAAGAAAACTCAACATTTCCAACACAATCATAACATAAGAATTCCAACTAGAATCAAAGACAATGAAAATAAACATTTAAAGTTCAACTAGAATCATCAATCAAATCTTCCAAAGTCCAAATTTAAAATAAACATCACACAAGTCAAATAAACCTTCAAGGTAGGATGCACAAAGTCCAAATTTGATGATCTCGTTGAGTTTGAGCTTGAGCTCGAGGCCTTTGATGCACTTGACTTCATCTAATTAAGATACAAAACATATAATAAGCAAAGGTAGGATGCACATGCAAAAGCTACGGATGCACATAATAAACCGAACTGAAAAACAACTTTAAAATATTGAGTATATATGAACTTTTGAAAAGATATCAGCATCAAAAAATAAGGATTACAGATAACAGATAATGACTCCATATGGTCCTCACAATATTATAAGGATCAAAGACTACGGATACAGAACATATATATATATATATATATATATATATATATATATATATATATTGTCATGAAACCATTAGCTACCATAATGACTCCATATGGTCCTCACAATATTATAAGAACATATTTATAATTAAGTTTTCTGATGCCATTAACATAATTATAAGAACATATTTATATTCCAGACTTCACGGGTATATGATATGTAAAACACGAATATGGTTGAACCACCTCAAACTTTGGCAGAACCAGGGTTGCATTTAAAAGATGGGCAATACCAACACCATCACATAAATGCACTCCACATAAATAAATTTTCAGGCTTAGCAACTTGGCAATATAAAATTGAGCATATATACAAGCAATCACAAAGTTGCTTTGATCACTCACATCTCTTCTCATCTGATTAAGGCCCTCATAGCAATCCACTCGAATGAATCCATTACTCTTTGATGGCAGAGCTGCAGAAAACCAATGCAATTGTCTGCAATGATAGTTAATTAAGGGAACTGACTCCGAATATCAAAAACTATATAGTAACCTCACCTCAATCCTAATTCTATTCCCATCAATCACAGCCAAATGCAATGGAAGCAAAATAAGTTGGAATGTACCAGTGAGGTGCCCTTATAGCCACAACTTGCAAGGTCTCCATTCTACCATCCTCCCAACACTCCATATATCCAATTTGCTCCTGCATTCGCAAAGTCAATCAGAAACTCATACTTTTCGCGGTTTTTCGTCCCAAAGTAACCGCAAATCCACACTTCAAACTAGTCCTGAATCACATCGTAATTCTCATTTCTCAGATTTTAACAGCAACCCAACTTAGACACCATCAAAAACACCAAACCCCAAAAGAAAAAAATCACCCGTTAATACCAAAAAAAAAAACATGGAAGACCTTTGAATATATTTCTTTGCCATTTATATAATATGAAAACCTTTCAAGATCTAAACTTTCATGCTACTTCTTTACCAATAAATCCATGAAATTGAAAAGCTACAGATCAGAACCAATGAAATTGAAAAAAAGAAATCTGCAAAACGCATTACGGGGGTAACTAGGTGATAGACTAACCTTGCAAATGAGGGAATTTGTGGGTCGAGACTCGAGACTCGAAATGGTGAGAGGAAGTCATAGGTCGCGCGCGGGTCACGGGTCACAGGGGTGAGAGACTGAGAGTGAGATGGCATTGGCATGAAGAAGACAAAGCGGAAGAACTACGGAGCTGGGAAGGAGATGGTCCAGAGTGAGAGTACAGAGGACAGGGATAAGGGAAAGGGAAGGGAATGGATCGATCGATCTGTTTAGGGTTTCAGACTGAAGAGAAGTCAGTCTTAGTGAACGAGAGAGAGAATAAGGGAATGAAACATAGAAAATGTGTGGCTGCTACTAGTGGCTAGGGTTAAAGGGTTTTGTTGATTTCTCAACAAAATTAAAATAATTCTCCAAGATCCTGGAGGCATAGGATTCGAACCCAAGCGCTCCAACTTGAAAAGTTTCACTAAAACCGACTTGGCAACGGATTCTGTTTTGTTATGATTGTATGACTATTTATAAATATTGAAAAAAATAATTATATATATATATATATATATATATATATATACGTTCGGTTTGACAGTTTCAGTTCGATTTTTTTCAGCCTCGGTCAGGTTCAGTTTTCGGTTTTTTTCGGTTTTCGATTTTTTGAACCCACCCCTAAGGGATAGTGAGGGAGAAGAGAGAAGAGAGAGAAAGACTTTTCAGAAAAATAAAAGAAAATGGAAAGGGAACCGGGGGACAAAATAGGGGGTGGGCCCCTTGGGCTCATCAATTAAGACCCAAAAACCAATTTTAAAAGAAGAAGATCTAGCCCAAAGTGAAATTTCACGAAAATACCCCCTTGTTCCGATAAAATCGGGACGGGTTGTTACAGTTTTTGTTTCCTCAAAATCATCAATATCTCACCAATGGGTGATAGAAGAAGGCGTAGCTTGGCAATGCAGACGGCACAATACCAAGCAAGCCTTGCAACTGCGGATGCAGAAATGAACAACGAAGAAGCTGAATTTGCAAACTCGCTTATGCAATATGAGCACCATGCCGAATCTCGCTTATGCAATTTTAGTTGTTAGATATTTTTTTTGCCGTTAGATTTGATTATATTCGATCTCAGCTGTTGGATTCAATAAATATATAAATATAAAACTAAAAAAAAAAATTGAATGTAGACCGTTGGATCAACCAACAACTCAATTGATTCAAGCCGTTCAATCAAAAAAGTAGTTGTTACATGTTGATGCAAGTGGCCAACATGACCTTGTGGGTGGGGCCATGTCGTTGCCTGCCCTTGGCGCGTTGCTCGCGTCCAACCTTTGCGTCTGGCGTTCAAGCGCCCATTTCCACTCTCACTAGTGGGCCCCACACGTTTCTTTAGGCTATTTCCTGGTCGGAATCTGGCATTTTTTCTGGTTAGAACTCGGGTTGGAATCGAATGGGGGGGGGGGAATAGAAGGGAAATTATAGGTTTTAATGGGGGGGGGAATAGAAGGGAAATTATAGGTTTTACTCCAAGGTTAGAGTTGGTCTTAGAAGAATAAAATAGACCCAATCACCAACCATTACCATACTTCACCATCCATGGCATATGGCCAAGTAATTACTCAAACAATACTAATTGGCTGCTGGAAGTTTAACAGCCACTCCTGTTAATATCCAATTATATTTGAACATGTGTCTAAATAATTAAAAGTATAAAAACAAATTGAACATGTGTTTAAATGTAATTGGGTGTCTGCAGGAGTTTTCAGCAGCCAAGTTGCATCCTTACTCAAACCCAAGGACGCCCACTAATTGCAATAGTTAGCAATTTAACCCAATACAATTATTGGTGATATCTATTGTTTCATCACCTCCACTTTAGCATTTTGCTTTTTAAAAAATTGTCATATAAAAGATAAATATTTTTTGATCGAGAAACTATAAGGGTATTTTATTAAAAATGAGATTCTCGATAGATTTTTTGTTACCTCATGTTTTTAGTATAATATTCTATAATGTCTGCATGTGAGTTAAAAGTATAAACACAAATTGAACATGTGTTTAAATGTAATTGGGTGTCTGCAGGAGTTTTCAGCAGCCAAGTTGCATCCTTACTCAAACCCAAGGACGCCCACTAATTGCAATAGGTAGCAATTTAACCCAATACAATTATTGGTGATATCTATTGTTTCATCACCTCCACTTTAGCATTTTGCTTTTTAAAAGATTGTCATCTAAAAGATAAATATTTTTTGATCGAGAAACTATAAGGGTATTTTATTAAAAGTGAGATTCTCGATAAATTTTTTGTCACCTTATGTTTTTAGTATAATATTCTATAATGTCTGCATGTGAGTTAACGTTAAACTGTGAAGTGAGTATAAAATTATAAATATATTTTTGTTGTACGAAGAATGTTTTATTCAGTCCTGACGCGTGAGAGGATGAAATTTTGCACAGTGTCAGAATCAGGATCTGACGCATTAAGTATTATAATATAAGTAATTAAATTTTTTTTATTTTCAATTATTTAACTAATTGTATTATAACACTTATTATACCGGTCGTTTTCAGACGGTGAAAAAATTCTACTCTCACGGATGAGGAGCACTGACAGAGGACCAAAAACATGAATCCACGTGTTCCACGTTTCTATCATGCGCCCCCACTTGGTCGTCAACTTTGAAGGTTTCAACAAAATTGAAATTACATGGCGCTGCGAGAAAAATGTAGAGATAAAGAAACATTCAAGGCAAATCCCAATTTTCTAAGCCATCTTATCCCAATCAATCATTCGCTTTCACCCTCAATTTCCTTCTGTTGCTTCTCCCATATCCAAAACTCAAATCGCACCATTTTTTTTCTTTTTCTGTTATCTGTTTTTGTTTTGTCAAATTTTGCAGCTAATAAATTGAATTTCTCAGCCTTTCTTTGTTGACCCAGTTGATCTTTCTTATTATTCAATTCAAAAAGTTGGGTTCTTGATTCAAATCTCTGGATTCCAGAGCAACCCATTTCTCCAATTCGTCTGGTTCTTCAGAAATTTGGACAATTTCAATCTGGGTTCTTTCGAGCAGAAAAGATGATGATGATGACAATGGAGGGGATGATGGATAAGGGTGTGTTGGATGATATAATCAGGAGGTTGTTGGAAGGCAAAGGAGGGAAGCAAGTGCAGCTATCGGAGGCGGAGATCCGGCAGCTCTGCGTCAACGCCCGCCAAATCTTCCTCGCTCAGCCTAATCTTCTCGAGGTCCGAGCTCCGGTTCGCATATGCGGTCAGCTTTCTCATCCTCTCTCACAGCCTTTTTTTATGGAAATTATGGTGATTTGAATTGTCCAATTTAAAAGATCATTTATTTTTGGTGTTTGCTTGTGGATTATGTAAATATTTGGTATTGAATAAGAATGTTGGTGGAAAATGGAAATGATACAACAACAACAACCAAGCCTTATCCCACTAAGTGGGGTTGACTACATGAATCCTAGAACGCCATTGCGCATGGTTTTATGCCAAGTCTTCCGTTAGCTCCAAGTGCTCCATATCTTTTCTTATGATAATTCGAATAAATTGGAGTGTGTGAATTTTTGGTTTTTCATGTTCTGTAATGGATAAATAACTTATGCAAAATTCTGTATGAATTTTGAGGAAAATAGGATATTTCCGATGCTATGTTCATTAGATCAATTCGGAATCTGTTTGAGTGATGGAGATGTGTCGAGGTGTTGGCATTGTATGCCATTTTGTTCATTCAATTTCTGCTAAATAGTGTTCATTTTCTGGTCAATAATGACAATGAAAGCCAACGAAATGGTTATTGTTTTTCATAATGACCGGTTTATTTCGCTGGCTATAAGAATAACATAATCACGTACTTTTTTCTTAATCAGCTAACATAATTATTGTGTTTTGCAATGCCGGTTTATTTTGCTGCATTTTGAGTACTCGATATCATTGAGTTTGTGTCCTTCGGATCAGTTTCGTGGTCCTGTTATCGTACATCATGGCACAGTCCAAGATATGCTAATGTAGCTTGCATGAAACACAGGGAAATGAACTTGAAAGCAAACATTAGTACAATTATCTCCTTATATTTCTTTATGTCCTTGGTCTTCCTAATATTGCAGGCGTCTTACAGGTGATATACATGGACAATACCAAGACTTACTAAGGGTGTTTGAATACGGTGGTTACCCTCCTTCTGCAAACTACCTGTTTCTAGGAGATTATGTAGATCGAGGAAAGCAAAGTTTGGAGACAATCTGTTTGCTTCTGGCCTACAAAATAAAATATCCTGACAAAGTTTTCCTTTTGAGGGGAAACCATGAAGATGCAAAGATTAATCGAATATATGGGTTCTATGACGAGTGCAAAAGGAGGTTTAATGTTAGGCTTTGGAAAATATTTACCGAGTGCTTTAATTGTTTGCCTGTGGCTGCACTTATTGATGGGAAGATACTTTGTATGCATGGCGGGCTCTCACCAGAGTTGGAAAACTTGGACCAAATAAAGGAAATTTCAAGGCCAACTGACATTCCAGATAATGGTCTTTTATGCGATCTGCTTTGGTCGGATCCTGATGCTAGGGTTGAAGGCTGGGCAGAGAGTGATCGAGGTGTTTCCTGTACTTTTGGAGCCGATAGAGTTATTGACTTTTTAGATAAGAATGAACTTGATCTCGTTTGCCGGGGTCATCAGGTAATCCTATTTTTATTTGACGAAATTGAATCCAAGTAACAAATGACCTAATTGTATGTCATATGTGTGTAGCCAAAATAGGCCTTCCCACCCCGTCTCACTTTTTTCATTCCCTGGCACATCTAGGCGTCCTTTGTGCAGATAGTTTCCACTATTTGCTGAATTATCTTTCATAGTCACTTAATCCTACTTGTCCTGATTAATAATTATGTAAGTGACACTGCGACAATGTAGGTGGTGGAGGATGGCTATGAGTTTTTTGCAAAACGAAGATTAGTCACAATATTTTCAGCTCCAAACTATGGCGGGGAGTTTGATAATGCCGGTGCTCTGTTGAGCGTTGATGAAGCTCTAGTGTGTTCCTTTGAGATATTGAAACCAGTTGATCATAAAGCATCCCCGAGTGGTTCAAAGTCAAATCTTAAAAAGGTATTTGTGTCGCCATTGATATTTGTTTTGATAATATTCGTATGTGATATTTAATCATGAATTCATGATGTCCTTATGTTGTGCGTCTTTGGGCAGACTCCTAAAACCCGAAAGAACTGATTATTTGGAGATTTCTCACAGCTCAATTAGGGAAATACAACAAGTTTGACAGGTGCTAGAGTTTGGATTCCGTTTTAGAGGAGCTTGACAAGGGAGAAGCGCCCGTCTTAATCCGAGAGTTCAAGCGTTGGATCACATTGAAGACTGTCAGATAATTTTATTACACGAATGTAAATCGTAACTGCATGTGTTATTGCTTGTTCAGGGAAGAGGTTTTCGGTTTAGACTACTTTTTGGTCAAGATTTGCTCGTTTTGGTTTGTTTTTTGTTGAGCATTTGTATATTATGTTTCATCACAGCATTTCAGAATCAACTTCTCTGGTTTCCTCATTAGCCTTCGCTTCTTTAAATTAATGTTCATGTACAAGAGTGTTACTGCAAATAGCACGAGAAGAGGGAAAAAACGAAGAACGAAAGGACCAAAGAAGAAATGTCGGGTTTGTATGAGCGGAGGAGATGACGACGAAATTCTTGTTTTTTGATTTGTTGATCTTCCCATCGATAACGAACTTGGTTTCGATCAACCCCGAGTACTAACAAGTTAGTTAATACGACGCTAATCACTATTTTGAGTCTGTTTTACAATGTCATCCCATGATCGGAGCCGATTAGTTTTTTGGGAACAGCCTCTCCATAAATGGGGGGTAAGGCTAGCCGACATTTACCTCTCCCAAACCCTGCGTAAAGCGGGAGCCTTGTGCACTGGGTACGACCTTTTTTTTTTTTAATGCCATTATCCATCACCCACATTTCAAACGCCACAAAGAGTAAGGGATACATTCCAAGCTACAAGATGGATAACAATAGTTTCACCTAGCCGAACGAGTAGGTTCTCCAACATTGAGTGGTATGGAAAATGAATGGTTAAAATTAAAAGTAAAAGATCAACTAGTTGTGAAAATCAAATCTAACATCTAAAACACCCGTAGCGCATTGAGTGTTGCATAACATTAAGGCCACCAAAAAAAAAACTACACTGACCCTTGGCGACAAATCTCATTGGGCCACTCTCGATAATGGGCTATTTTGGGCCTATATTTGTACATAAATTGGGCCAAAAGCAGAAGCATGTAACAACAGACCCGCCCGGCAGGTCCGGCACCAGCATCATCAATGGTAAAGTTATAAAGCTTGTCAAAACCCTAGCATTCAGTCAGCGGCGTCCCGAGCAACCGAGCTTCAGCACCAGCAGCAACAATGGTATCTCTCTCTCTCTCTTTATTTGTATTAGCACCTGTATTGATATGTGAATAACATTGGGTGTGGTGCGAAACAGGGGATCGATCTCGTCGCAGGAGGTAAGAGCAAGAAGACGAAGCGCACTGCGCCCAAGTCCGATGACATCTATCTCAAGCTTCTCGTCAAGGTATATAATTTCGCGTCTTTGTAAATGTCTACGTATTTGTATTTATCGGATTTTGTATCTCGATATGAATTGGTTGCAGCAAATGAAAGTTTGAATTTTGTTGATTCCGTTTTGTTTATATCCAATTTTCATTTCTGGGTTTTAATAGTTTTGGGGGTGTTGTTGTTTCTGCAATGACGATATATGTGTATCCCAGCTCATTACGAGACCTTTTGTGGTCAAGGAATACAAATAATTCCACATCTATCTGAGCCTTTCGCAACTTCGGTTCGTTAAATCTGATTAACCAAAAACAAAAACAATGTATCTGTTATTGGTGTAAATTGCTACCTTTTGTTCTTGTGTTATGCTGTGATTGTTTGGATGGCGTAAACCGTGCAATGTTGGTGTTGTTTTTCAATTGTTTTGTGATCAAAACATCGAAAAAGCAACTTTGTTTGGTTTTGTATCCCAAATGTTGTAGCTTCCTGTTTTAATGTTGTTCAACTATGGAGAAAATGTTCCCTGTGATGCTTTTGAACCATGCTAATCCTGATTATTTCATGATTATAGTTTTCTAAATATTCTGAGGGAACAAGCTCCTATTTTTCAAATTTGTTCGTTTGAGTTTGTTAACCAGATTTTGTTTACCGGGGTTCATGAAATCGCCCTTATTTTTCTGTAAATAAGGGTCTTTTTAATTATGCATGTAAACGTATGAATGTGTAGGCTGATTGGGTTCCTGGTTTGTTCTTGGTCAGCTATACCGTTTTCTTGTCAGGAGAACTGGAAGCAAGTTCAATGCAGTCATTCTCAAACGTTTGTTCATGAGCAAAGTCAACAAGGCACCACTTTCTCTCTCAAGGTTGATCAAGTATATGCAAGGAAAGGTTAGTTAGTCTGAATCGTCATTTCCTTTTCACTCTTAAGTTACCTGCTCTTTAGATATCTGTATTTTTAATGTTCTTTTTCGTTCTAAAAAGGCTTCGATCTTATACAGGACAGCAAGATTGCTGTGGTTGTGGGGACCGTGACCGATGATATTAGGGTCTATGAGGTTCCTCAATTGAAGGTTACAGCACTGAGGTTCACTGAGACTGCAAGGGCCAGGATTGAGAAGGCAGGAGGAGAGTGCTTGACATTCGATCAACTTGCTTTGAGAGCACCATTGGGTCAGAACGTGGTATGAGTTCTTTATACCGCCGAGTAGTTTCAATTTAAAATCTGCTAAATTGATCTGTACCACACAATGGTATCACTGTTAAATTTAATCTCTTTTCTCAAGTTATTAAGTAAAACTTCTTTTGGCCACCCATGCAGGTTCTCCTCAGAGGTCCAAAGAATTCCCGTGAAGCAGTGAAGCACTTCGGTCCAGCTCCTGGTGTACCACACAGCCACACCAAACCTTATGTGCGGTCCAAGGGAAGGAAGTTTGAGAAGGCTAGAGGAAAGAGGAACAGCAAGGGCTTTAGAGTTTAACCCGATTACAATGAAAAACGGTATTTCTGGAATCCAATGTTGCTTTGGCTTTAGGTGTCTGGTATCGTGTTTACTTTATTTCACTGTTAACTCCAATTGTCTCTATTACCAAAAGAGAAGATTGTTTGATACATTTGAGGAATGCAATTATATTTCCAATCCCGATTCCCCTTTCATAAATTCTCCTTTTGCCATGCTGGTACAGATTGATCTCGCTCATGGTTCGTTAAACAATAGATCGAATTTAACAGTAAAATCGCAAGAACGATCTCTAGAATTGAAGTATTTTAACTCTCAAATTTGTTGGCTCTCTGGATTTGAACTATCCCATTTGTATACACAGTTACATCAAACTCTCCTTCAAACACATGTGAACACAATTGTAGCCGTTGAATCAAATTTCAATAATCCGGATCATTTGATCCCTGGGCTCAGTTCCTTTGGGTCCGGAGGGGATCCGGTTCCGTATGAAACTATGTGCTCGTCGTTATTAATCATAAGAGTCTCGTCGCTCTCCAAAAAAGCAGTGAATTCTTCAATCCAGTTGCGGCCTCAACTCTAGTGTTTCATCAAAGAACCCTGAACGTCACCAGAATCATCCATCTAGGGCTGGTTCGGGTCGGGATCCCAAACCGAAACCCCAAGCCCGAATCCCAAACCGACTCTCTTCGGGATAGGATTCTAAAACCCGAAACTGTACCAGAATTTTGGTATTCCTGAATTTCGGGCATCCCGAAATTGTTTCGGATTTTCGGTTCGGGATTGGGAAAGCATGCAGTAAGAAGATATCAACCTAATTTAGGAAGATCGAATTAATGCAATCCCCAAATAACAAATTTCCAGTCCCCTAATCCCAAATTTGCAGAAACCCATAAAAAATCAGACAGTCAAGGATCGAAGAAGCCGTCGATCAAAATTCAAAAGCAGAAAAATACAAAGAAATCAAGCATGCAGTAACTGAAATTAGGGGATTTTCAAAACAAAAATCCTAATTTTAATTCTAAATCCCCAAATTGAAAGTTCAAAACCCTAATCCTCAATTTCAGAATCCAAATCCAAATCAAGGTACAATAATTTCATGAAGTTTGGCACCTTCAGAATAGAGAAGCTTCGATTTGGAGGTCGTTGGAGGTGGAACCATGGAAGTTTGGATTTGAAGACTCGACGGCCGACGTGTTGAGTTTGTGACAAAAGGAGGAGGAGGAGCAGAGGCCAAAGAGTGCAGAGACGATTCGAGGGATTAGAGAGAGTGTTGAGTTCGAGGCTGTTGACATAACAGATGAGGAGATGAGAGAGCGCAGAGATCTGAGAGGTTAGAGAGAGTCTGTCTGAGTGAGAGAGAGAGAGCGCAGAGTCATTTGAGAGATAAGAGAGAGAGTGAGGTCTTTTAGCCAACGGTTGAGATTTAATCTCAACCGAATCCAACGCTTATGGTTTATTCAAGTATATATAATATATAAATATAAATATATATATATATATATATATATATGTATATATGTATATATCGGTTCGGGATTCCCGAACATTTGGCAATCCATTCCCGATTCCCATACCGCAGTCTCGGGATTATTTCGGTATGGGTTACCGAATTCTTTGGGATTTTTTATTTCAGGATTTTTCGGTTTCGGGTTCGGGTAATTCGGGAATTTTTTCCAGCCGATCCATCACCCAAACGTGAAAAGAATTGATACTCGAACAAAGATAAGAGCAACAGATTCGTTCCATGCTCCAAGCCGCTTCTCATAAGCACCTTCTTATGGCCGGTAGAAACACGCCGGAAACAATCGAACCAAGGTAAGAAATGAACTCCCTTTGCTTCTCTCGTGCCATCCAACAGCATTTCCCCTTAAGGTACATTTCAAAAGAATAGGGCCAAAACTGTGTAGTTTCTGTTTCTAAATAATCGATCTTGATTTCTCTCCAAGAATTCGAACTCATTGCGTACACTTCTGCTCTCGGAGAACGACAAACAACGCGATCACCATACGTTTCCTCACCACTCGATGCAACGCTAACAAGTACATAATCCTTAGATTTCGGGTTATAGCCGATTCATAATTTTGAAGGCTCGATTCATCGGGAAGAATCCTGAAATCGTTGATCGACGGATTATAAAGAACAATATGGCCAGTGTAAAGAATCAAACATAAAATCCCATCACATTGGCCTATAATGTCTATAGATCCATCAAGCTCACTAGGAAGCTCAATTATTTGACCCCCATTGTTTAATCCCATAGAAACCGGAAAATGCAGGTCCTCAACAACAGAATCTAGGTTATCGAAATCAGCTTCACTATCGTTAGAAGGATCGAGGAACGAAAACACAACTTCCTCCTTGGTAGTTTCCCTTTTTTTGGCCACGGTGTGCTTGAAAAGGATGCGTGCGGAGGAGGAGAATTCGTTGTACGAATGGAGGTGTTTGGCTACAAACTGGGGGTCATTGATAAGGGCATACCACGACTTTCGAACGCACTTGAAACGCGGTAGAGATTTCGGATGCAGCCTGGCTAAGATTTGCGCCACCATCTCTTCCGGCATCTTGCATGAGGCTGCCCTTTTTACTGTGTTTTCGATTCGTAAATCCATTTGGTGTTGGTGGTAAGGAATTGAGGGAACGTAAACAATTTTTGTGGTATGTGGTTTAAGATAGCAAACGATTGAGGATCACTTAATAGTAAACTCCCTAATCACCCCCTCAATTAAGGAAAATTAAACACTAAACCCCAAGATTAATTACATTGTCTAAGAAGCATATGAAATTAACTAGATAGTATGAAGCATGAAAAAAATAAAATCTGAAGGGAATTGTATATTAATTGAATTTTTACTGTAAATGGTCACTGAGATTGACTCAAGCAATCAAAATGGTCCTTGTGTTTCAAAAGCAATCTAGCGTTACATAATTATACATTTGTATACAAATTTCAGACCAACAAAAACAACTCAAACATCATCAAATTATATAACTCAGGTGCCTTTCGAGACCCTACGTAAATGGGGGTAAGGCTAGCCGACATTCACCTCTCCCAGACCCTGCGTAAAGCGGGAGCCTTGTGCACTGGGTACGACCTTTTTAGGTGCCTTTCGAGAAGGATGGAGTCCTTGTAGTTGCAGTTTTCGATTTGTTGCTAGTGGTCAGGCCGGGGATATAAGGAACACCTGAGAGCCTAATCCACTTATCACCCCTGAAGAACCTACCGGGTGTGAAATCTGCAGTATGATTTTCAGTAATCTGCTTGATCCCGCGCCATGTCACGCGCCTTGCCTTGTTAGCAGCAGGGCCTGTGTTGCCTGACTCTGCGTAGAAGCATGTCTTTAGCCCCCACTCACCCTCCCAAGGTAACCAACCTTCCGGTTGGATCACGTCATCAATGTATGAGTCCATGATGATTGTTCTTGAATACTCCTTCCATGGACGACCAAGATATGCCTTGTTCTCATCCTTGACAGGGAAGTAATCAGGTTCGGCAGTGATTGTGCTGTTTTGAATGATGATTGCAGATGGCTGGCGCCGTTCTTTCCTGCCTTGAGCTGTCACAATGCAAGACTGGTTTGGCAATGGCTTGCGGATCAAGAAAGTGCAGTTTTGGAAGACTGCAGTTGCATCACCAAAAACAAAATCTATGGTGCCGGAGATGGTGCAGTCGCAGTAGAATTGGCGTTGTGCGTGTGTGTAAAGGGTGTCTTGGTACCCGTCCATTGAACACCTGTAGAAGATTGCCTCGTCAGCACTCACCCTCAATGCAACAGCCTGATGTTTCTCCGGACCAGCAGAGTTGTCAAACCCTATATCCCTTGCCATGAAATGATCTCCCTGAATAGCTGCATGCATCCTATAACCAAATTAATCATACTTCCAATTAAACATATTCACAGTCTGACAACATAAGCATTTGTACACCAACATAAGTGTGTTAAGAGAAGGTTAAAGATTCACAATCGGTCAACGTAAGCTGTTAAGCGGATATTAAAGGCAATTTACGAGAAGCGTGCTTACCAACGGTGGCAGTATGGTAGGTGGGCGTGCCATCTGCAAAGTTCTTGTTTCCGGTGATCCTAGTCTTATTTGCGCCATCTCCGATCATCATCACGCTCGTCATGCTCCTGGTAACCAGGATATGCTCATTATATACTCCTTCCTTGATGTAGATGATAAAGGTTTCATTGCCATACTTGGGGACATGGTCTAGCGCCTCAGTGATGGTCTTGTAGCTTCCACTTCCATCCTTTGCCACAATGATGTCGGGCTTATTAATTTTCGGAGCAGAACTGGTACTGGTGGTGAGAAGTTCTCTGCCTTCACCTCCATACCACTTGGGATCTTCGAATTCCCCATGACCAATAACGGAGAAGACGGGGAAGACATCGAATTGGAGGAGGCGGCGGAGTTTCTTGCCTTCACCTCCGTACCACTTCGGATCTTCGAATTCCCCGTGACCAATAACAGGGAAGGCATCAAATTGGAGGAGGCGGCGGAGTTTCTTGCCTTCACCTCCATACCACTTGGGATCTTCGAATTCCCCGTGACCAATAACTGGGAAGGCATCAAATTGGAGGAGGCGTCGGAGTTTCTTGATTCCACCTTCATACCACTTAGGGTCTTCGAATTCACTGTGACCAATAACAGGGAAGGCATCAAATTGGAGGAGGCGTCGGAGTTTCCTGACTCCACCTTCATACCACTTGGGGTCTTCAAATTCACTGTGACCAATAACAGGGAATGCATCAAATTGGAGGAGGCGGCGGTGGCTAGAATCAGGGTTGTTCAAGTCAGTGAAGGCTGAAAATACTTGAGATACCATGGCAAGGGCATTGCTACTCAAATGCATAGAGGTATTCAACACACTCTTCATCTCCTCAGCTGCATCAGTAGAGCTAGTAGTATTCTCAAAAGCATCCAAGCAGCTTTCTTGATAAGTGATTGTAGCACTAAGCCAAACCTTCAAATCCACCAACATTTCATTAAACTTTGTAAAATCATCGATGTACCCTAGTCGCACAAGCGACTGCCTGAGCTCACTAAGCGCCAAATCCATAAGCTCTTCGCACGCGTCGAGGGCATTGGAGGTTCGGGGATCCTTCTCGAGCTTTCGCAAGAAGTCGGATTTTTTGGCAGCATCGGTTACGTACTTCATTGCAACCTTGAAGCCGTATTCAATGAGCTCTATTGGATCGGTGGTGGTGTTTCCGGAGGCGTAGCTGAGGCTGTCGAGACATTCTTGCTTGTAATCGGTTGGCTGGCAAATGGTTTTGATTGCTTTCATTGAGGCTGACTTGTCATGGGAGCTACCCTTGCTGCCACTGACTGGACTATTGTAGAAACCCTTTTCCATGATGAAACCAGCTGCCACCGCCATCACCATTGCCATCAATAAAAATGCAGATAGGCTGATGATGACGATTCGCTTCTTCGATCTCCTATCTACATCTTCCCTGTTCGCCATTTTCGAACAATGTTGGAAGAGAAAATTACTATTTTTCTTCTCTATTTGTTGTTTTTGGAAAATGCATAAGAGAAATGTGAATTTATAACTGAAGAGAGAAGGGAGATTTGAATGGTGGTTCTAATTAGGTTGTAACAGTATAGCAAAAGATGTGGCTTGGAGCGCAAGGAAGGTTCTATGCCAAGCTATATGTTGTTACTTTCACAAAAACAAGAACAAGTGTACTTACTGGCAAGGCTAACTTAGCTTTGACACGATTAAGCGTGGCTGGCTTTGACCAGTTCCGGATTATAGTTTTCAAATAGTTTAGCTAAAAACTTACTTCCAAAGGTCTGCACGCGGTTGTATGTAAGTTTCTTTTATATTTTAGATAATAAAATAGTAATATCACGTGACGGTATTTCTAAACTTTTCTTTTGCACGCAATTTTCTACAAAAGTGGTTCTTTGCGTTAAGATTAAGTGAATAAATTATTATTAATTTATATTTTTTTAAGAAGTCGGGAATCAATGAACATAAGAATTCTAAAAGTAAAAGTGCTCGTCTTTAAAACGAAAATACTTGGTGAATTACATGTAAAGAGTAATCCTTCAGGCAAGCAAATGACATGGACGTCATTTATGTCATAATGCAAATTAAAAGATAAGAAAAATATGAGGTAAAAAGTGAATGATACAAGACCTACTTTTGTCCAAAAAATAGAAAATTACACACTTTTTTTATTTATCTTCTATTTTTAGAAAAATAAATATTTCTCTAAAGAACACAAGTAGATTTTAAAAATACTAATAATAGTTCATGTCCAAATAATATTAATGATAATATTTTAATTTAATTACTCAAACCCTGCTGTAAACTTGATACCGGTCGACGGCAACCAAGCCATCCCATCAATAAACCTCCCCACGGTGAAGAAGCTCGCCGCAGCAGCATCCCTGAGTATATGGTAACCACGCCATTTGACCCGACCCGACATAGCTGCACCCGGCCCATAATTCTTATACTCACCATACCACAACGTGCCCAAAGCAAAATCCCCATTCCACTCAAGCCACCCTCTGGGCTGGACCAACCTACTCATATAAGTGTTCATATAAACAGTTCTGGAATATTTCTTCCATGGCCTACCCAAATAAGTCGGCTGGGTGGCCAGAACAAAACTGTCCTGGATTGCAAACCCTGTGCTTTGATGTGGGCTTTTTCTACCTTGGGCAGTGATTGTGATTTTTTGTTGTGGGAGTGGGACCCTTGTGTAGATTTTGCAGTTTTGGAGGACCGCAGCCCCATTGCCAAAAATGAAGTCTACGGTGCCGTAGATGGTGCACTCACGGAAGAATTGGCGGAGCGAGTGAGCGTAGAGGGTGTCTTGGTAACCCTCCACGCTGCACTGGAAGAAGGCCGACTGGTCGGAGTCGACTCTTAGCGCTACGGCTTGGTGGTTTTGAGGGGCGGCTGTGTTGCGAATTGTCAGGTTCCTTGCTATGAATCCCCTTCCGGATACGGCTGTATGAAACATAGTATGCATGAGAAAATACGTCATTTGAATCATCTCGGAATAGACAATAAATATGTTGCCGGAGGCCGGATCCCTTTCACCAAATCCACCACATCAATCAATCCAAACCCTTAAAATTTGATCAACGGCTAAAGTTATTATAACTTTTAAAGGAACTCCTTGTTTGTAGCCGTTAGATCAAATTTTAAAAACCTGAATTGATTGATGGGGTGGATTTGGTGGAAGGGATCCAGAGATGATCCCTTTTTATAGCTTGATTCATAGTCTAACAATATTAGATTTTTCTATATATTATGTGTGAAAAATACGTGCACTCAACATGAAAAGCATAATGTAACTTACCGACTGTTGCAGTTCTAAACGTAGTCCATCCTTGCATGAAACTCCGGTTACCCGTTATGATAGTTTGTCCAATCCCATCCCCAACAAACATAATATTGGTTTTGTTCTTCTTCATTTCGATGTTTTCCCTATAAATTCCCTTCTTCACATATATAACGTACCTGCTAGGGCTGTAGTTTGGAGCTTCATTGACAGCTTCTGTGATCGTACGGTACTGTCCACTCCCATCTGCTGCCACAACAGCATGATTCACACCCGATTTTGGATTCGATTTAACCAGCTCTTGATCTTCCTCACTCATCCAAGCCGGGAAATAATCCCCTGGCGAACTTTTATTCGTTGGGGGACCATGATGCCTAGGAGGCTTAGAGGGCAAGCTGTGTAGTTGAGTATATAAGGTAAGAACATTACCAATGAGCTGTGTCACTTGCTTCACACTTCCCCTAACGAAACTTTCGAAGCGTCGGTCAGTTCCTTCAAAACCCTCAAGGCAGGTATCTTGGTTACTTAAGGCAGCACTAAGCCAAGCTTTTAGGTTTCCTTCGTAGTGAACATTTGTGTCGCCGCCGCGAATTTTGATCATTTCCCCTAGAGACCAAGCCAACTCGGAGAAGGAGTAGTCTAGGAGCTCCTTGCAGTCCTCAATTGCTACACTCTCTCTGTAACTTCTGGGCAAAGAGTTGAACTTTGTGATGATTTGGATAGCATTTTTTGTTTCATTGAGCGTATGCGTAAGAGCAGCAGTTAGGATTGAAACCGAATCTTGAGTTTGAGGCCCCCTTTTTTGGAGCTCGGCTTGCACGTTTGTGAGGCACGAGTTTCGGTCATCGACATCAGTGCAAGTTTGCGTAACCATGGATCGAATGGAAGGGTAGGAAGTAACCCCATAAGAAGAACATGAAAGTGAAAGAAGAAGAAGCAGAAAATTGGCTAAGGCCATGTTTGGCAATGTTGGAGGGAAGGAAGTGATTGGGAAAAAGAAGGATATTTATTTATAGAGCAAAATTTGGCTGTTTAAAAACAAGTAGGAGCTCCTACTCTCATCTAATAACAACAAGTGTCTAAAAAAATTGTAAAATTTAAATTTAAACTAACAATGTGAACACTTATCAAGTTGTTGTTGAGTAAGAGTAAGAGCTCCTGCTTGTATTTAAGCAGCCAAACTTTGTTCTTATTTGTACGTGTGAGAATGAAAGGGAATATAGGAATGGCTTGTTTATAGAGGAAAGTTTTTGTTCTTGGAGATATAAATAATTTGTTGAATATTTCAAAGAATATATATATATATATATATGTCTGTATGTATATATGATATCTTTTTGGCAGAGAGTAGGAAGTTGGGTTATTAAGTCAACAATCATTTCTCTTTGAAATTAAACACTGCATCTTTTTTTATTTGGCGTAAGACATGATGTTTTTTCCTTTTTGGTTCAAAAAAGACATGATTCATTGTGAACAAATATCATCTTTCCTATTTGGCGAAAAGACACGATTCATTGTGAACAAATTCAAAGGTTTTTTTTCAAATCCTCTTTGTGAAGATTCTGAAAATCTGTGAATCGGGTCTATTTATCGTATATCGTGTCGTCATTTTTTTCAGGTACTGTTTGTGTTTAATTTTAAATAAAAGAATTTAAAAAAATTTTGACTACACAATATATGATGAACAGACATGATTTACGGATCCCTAGGATCTGAATTCGTGAATAAATATCATCTTTGGACATGTGGTTCTCTGCATTAGGTATACCCATTGAAATGCCTTTTGGATAATGCATTGTATATATTCAAACAAACATGACCTCTTCGAACTAATATGACTTCAAAAATTATGTATGTTCGATTAAATTGAACATGTGCAATTCTCTCTATATATTGATAACATGGCAGAAGAGAAAATTCATTCAAAAATTTGTTGTCAACACGATTTCCTTGCCCTCTCTTCTCTTTCCATCACATTAATACAATTTTTGGTTATCTTAAAAGAATTATTAACTTGAGTTTAACTTACTCTGAGTTTTCAGTAGTACTTGAAGGATATTCATATGCAAGTTGGATAACAAGTGCTAATGATAATCAATCTACATCAGGGTGGATTTTTACAATTGTCGGAGGAGCAATTTCTTGGGCTTCAAAAAAGAATATGAATTTATAACATAGTAGTAGCAGGTAAAAAAGCGGAATGGATTAGTTGTAATTGCTTGTAGTAGTTGGGACATGGGAAGGAACCTCATCTATATGAACATAAGAAGTAGTGTCACTTCTACCAAGAGTTGGGTTTTCTCTTGTAAATGTTCATGAAAGCATGATGAAGCACAAAGTCATAATAGTGCTTAATTAATTCGGAAATTTCTTTAAAGAAATAAGACATAGTTATGTGTGTAGTGATTTCGATTTTAACATAAGAATAGATGATTTAAACTTAGGTTACCATCTCATTCGTTATAGTTTTGAATTACTTACACTAATTAAAGGTTTAATTCAAAAGATTCTAAAAAAATCTGTTACCGGGACCCATTGGAAGTGAAGTTCACTTATCTTTACTTCGAAACCTTTTCTCGATTCGCCGACATATTAAATAAGAAAAGAAAAAGAGAAGTCGACTAAGCAAACTCATGATTATATCGGTATGCTTATGATAATTATAGAGAGAGACTTGTTGTTGTATCATTTTCTATATATTCTTAAAATAGGGAATGATTGTTGAATATAATATATATATACACACACAAACCTTTTATGCAAAGGGATTCCCATTTTTTTCAAAAAATAGAGATTAGGTGTGAGGCTCACTCCATATCAAACTTCAACAATTTGAACCATCTATTTTATAATTCTCAATTCATAGATCATCCTTGCAAAAATTCAATTCAATCCGAAACCATTTGATTATTTAATTATCAAAATAAAATTTTATTGTTTCTTATGTAACAAAGTATTCATAACTTTTTTTTTGAACTCAATTAGATGTCTTAAATATTTCTGATTTGGCTAATATTTTGCAAGAATGATCTATGAGGTGTAACTTAAAAAATAAATGATTCAAATTGTTAAAGTTTGATGTGTTGTGGACTCCATAACTAATTCCTTTTTTTTTTATTTAAAAAAAAATTGATGATTCCTTTCTTTAAAGGCTTATATATAAATATATATTTATGCGCCATTTTGGCAGAGAGTGGGAAAGTGGGTGATTGAACCAACAATAATCTCTCTTTGAAATTAAACACTGCACCTTTTTCCTGTTTGGGGAAAAGACATGATTCATTTTGAGCAAATATCCTCTTTGAATATTTAGTTCTCTGCATCAGGTATGCACATTGAGATGTCTTTTGAATAATGTATTGTATATTTTCAAACAGACATGATTTCTTTGAACCAATATGACTTTAAAAGTGATGTATTTTCAACTAACTTGAACGGGTGCAATTCTCTCTATATATTAATAACGAGGCAGAAGAGAAAATTCATTCAGAAATTTGTTGTCTACATAAATTCCTTGCTCTCTTCTCTCTCCACCACATTCATACAAGTTCTTTCTAGTTATTTCTAAGGAATATAATTTGGTTTTACTAATCGAATATTTTATACTTTGTTGTATCTTGAAAATGATTTGCCAAGAGCTTTAGCAAACTCATTTGAGTAATGACAAATAACACTTTAAGAAAACAATTTAAATATTATCTTAAAATCATCCTTCAAATTATTCTCTATATTTTTACGTTTACTCTAACATAATTTACCTTCATTTTTTGTGCTTTTTCTCTAGACAAAGTTTAAGGCATTAAGTCATCCCTTCTTTTCTAGGGCGTGTCCCTAATGTTCCATGCTATTTTTTATTGACACGTTAGGGTGCCTTGTCAAAACAAGTTATCCGTTTCATACCGCTTCAAAATGTAGGAGAGAAATGTACCCTCGTCTTAGTAATCAGTCTTGAGTTAGAGAAGAACTTACATTAATTAAATATCAGAGTGCGCAACGAATGAGACTAACAAAATAACAGAAATATATTAAACAACCGAGAATGCCGGAACGGCTACAAAACCCTAAGAGATTACATTGTGAATAACTTGATTTTCATGCTAAACTATAAGCTATATTTATAGAGAGCCTAGAAACCCTAATTCAGATGGGCGAGGCCCATATACTAACAAACAAGCAAAACCTAAATACTAAAATAAACATAAATACTAATATTTTCCAACACTCCCCGTCAAACTCATGACGGTATACGACATGAGTTTGCAAACAAGCAAATGCGGACTGGCTTCATTAGGTGGACTGGCAGGCATGCAAACTTAACTTGACTTGACTGGCAAACTGGCAAGAGTTGAGAGTATGGAAATAATCCGTCACTAAAGGGACGAGATTTCCATATCTCAATTGTAGCAACGAACAAACAAACACAAATAATATCACTCGAGTGGTCACAATTCCAAACACTCGAATGACGGTCACAAAACAATCCCAAACAAACCAACAATTCGTGTGGACCTAAAAACAAACTTAACCATTTTTTTTCTTGTTGCCGGTGTGGGCCTCAAACTAACAGCAAACGATTTTTTTAAGGAAAACTAATGAAAAAGACTTGAAAATTTTGAGTTTTAATGATAAGGACAAAATAAATGGTAAAGTGAATAGTACCATAATTGACTTTTAGTGTAAAAATGTGGTTTTTCATTAAAGTGAACAGTACCGGGTGCTTTTCGTTAAAGTTTCCTTTTTTTTTACCTTCTTTTTCTTTCTTTTTTCCCTATCCTTTCCTTCCTTCCCATTTTTCTTTCTTTTTTCTTTCTGGACTTCAGTCAACAGCAGCGGAAGGTTGCAGAAAAACTGGGCACATGAGTGCAGGCTGGTTCGACGAAGGTACGGCTTGGCTTCGGTGATTCTGGCAACAGGAAGCAGGTCATGTCGTCTGGGCTTGCGGAAGTGGTGCAGCAACGAGTGATCGGGTATGTGCAGGTGTGTAGAGGGTGCTGATGCAGTGCAGTAAACGGTGTGGTGATGCGGATGCGGCTGGTGTTGGATGGTGGGTTCAGCGCTGCAGTGGATGCTGGTCGATAATACAGGCAACAGTGTATACGGGAACAATAGTAGATGATGGATCAACTTGATCCAGCGTCGGTGCGAGTCCAAACTTTAATTCCAGAAACTTCTTTCGTTCCTTTTTTTTTTTTTTCCAACTATATGAATGACAAACAAAAAAACTAACCAGAAAATGAAAATATTCCACGATCGAAACTGGAAAAATAAACAAACGCCAATAACGAACAGAACAAGATGAACTAGACGAACAAACAAACTGATACGAATCAAGGGCATATTAAATCCCGAAGGATCAAACCTGCTATAATACCAAGTTGAATATCAGAGTGCGTAACGAACGAGACTAACAAAATAATAGAAATATATTAAACAATCGAGAATGCCGGAACGGCTACAAATCCTAAGACCATCTCCAACCCTGGGCTAAAAGCCAAATTACCTCCCAAATTACCCCCCCAAACACTCTCCAACCCATGCTAAAATTTTAGGCTAAATGCCAAATGCTATTTCTGGGCCAAATACCCCCCAACTTTCCCTCCGGGCTAAATGCGAAATGTTTATCGGAATTTAAAATTTTTTAGATTAAAATGTTCATAAAATTAATTTACAATAATCTACATATTTATTTAAAAAAAAATTGATTTAAGAAAAAAAATTTAGGCTAATTTCATTCTTTAATAATTCCGGGCTAAAATTTTAGGGTAGAAGGGTTGGAGCAGAAAAGATGTTTCTGGGCTAAAAGCTAAATTTTCCGGGTTAAAAAATTTGGCTTTTAGCCCAAGGGTTGGAGATGGTCTAAGAGACTATATTGTGAATAACTTGATTTTCATGCTAAAATATAAGCTATATTTATAGAGAGCTTAGAAACCTTAATTCGGATGGGCTAGGCTCATATACTAACTAACAAGCAAAACCTAAATACTAAAATAAACGTAAATACTAATTCCAACAACATTTGCTTGAAATGAGTAATCCAAGCAAATGATACACTACTAGGCATCTAGTTACATATTTTAACTTTCCCACATGACAATTGAATCATTAATTTAGGATTTCGAAAGGAGTAATGCTACAACTATTCTAAAAATCCCCGTCTAGGTGCTAGGTGGCTGGCCACCGTCCCGATCAATGCCTAGGTATTTGAAAATTAAGAAATGAATCCTAAACTTGCTGAGACGCTCGCTTAGCCCGTCCAAACCTGCCTAGGTTGCAACTCACTTAGACAGAAAATAGGTAACTTTCATTTTGCATTTTATTTTTTTCAATAAATTGTAAGCGACTTGTTGTAGACTTAAATGGACACACATTATATGCTTGTTCTATATGTTTACACTATGTTCCAATATTTCATAATATATATATATATATATATATATATATGTCATTTTATTTTATAGTTTATGATGAAATTGTTTATATTTCAAGTATCAACTGACACTTATTTACAAGAAAATATAATAGATTTACATAAATCTGCCTAGGCGTCCGCCTAGCCGTTTAGGCATTAGGCTCCAGCCCGCCGCTCGACTAGCAAACTAGCGTCTTTTAGAACCTTACATCTAACACATATTTGTATCATCTGTCTAATAGAGGTATAACCAACCAATACATGTGTGTTTCATTTCTTAAATAGATAGTATAAATATATGGTAAGAGTAGCATTTTTGTTTCAAAACTGTTGCATCCTACATGTATGGAATGGCATGCTTTGGGAAATAATATGCAACCGTGTGCAAGATTGGGTATATACATTCTCATATCAAGAATACCAGAATGGGCTTCAGATTATGGGCCAAGTTGTAGTCAACAACCCAAATCAAATTTGTAATTCAAGCAATCTCCAGGGTCACAATCGGAAATTAGAAAAACCATGATCTGCCTTCCTATAAAAAGGCTAAAACCCTACCCTCTTCTCTCCAGTTCGTCTGTGGCCGTCGCGCACTCTGCTCCTCCGCTTCCAACAAAACCCAGCCGCGTTTTTCTTTCAACCATTTCTTCTCCGATCTCCATTGATTTTCTGATATGGGTTTATCTTTGTTTCTATTTATTTATTATATTAGTTATATTTTGTGCTGTGATGATCTATGATAATCCCAGCTCTATGAGACCTTTTGTGGTCAGGGAGTAGAATGTTATCCATACAAATCTGAGCCCAGAAAGCAATTTTAATTTTATTTATTTCTTTGATTATATATATATATATATATATATATATATAATATTTTTTTTTTTTTTGTTTAGTTTTCATTTGTGTTGATAAACTTATGGTATTTTTTATTTTATTTTTTATTTTTAGTTATTTGTTATATTTTTGCGATGATGATCACTGTGTATCCCAGCTCATTACGAGACCTTTTGTGGTCCGGGAATAAATTAGATTCACATATTATCTGAGCCCAGAATTTAATATTCTCAATTTTTCTTTTTTTTTCTCGAAAGAAAAAATAATTTGATGTTTATATGTTGTCTTGTTTTTAATTCATGTTCTTTTAGGAGGTAATTCTCTGTTTTGTTGTTAATTTCTTTTTGGATGATTAAACCTCGTTTATTTTTCACTCGACCAACAGAAATTTGACGTCTGCACATTGAGGTTGGAGGAGATTAGGCTAATTCGAAACAAATAATATGGAGCTTAAACAGATAATTTCTTTGACAAAAATGAAAGTAATTAAATGAAAAAGGAGGAGAATCATATTCTGCTACTAGAAAAGGAAATATCAAACCCAAATATGTGACATTTTATAATGGTTACAACCAAATTGGTCAAGTTAGGGGATCCAGTTTGAAATTTTAGTAGTAGATGGGAGTTAGTTCAATTGATATTTTGGTCTGTTTTTGTTCTTTCTTTAGGAGTTTGATACTCTTATAATTAGACTTGATAATATTTTTCGTTGATCTAACATAAAATGACATAATAATAACAGGTTTCGTCAACCTGTTAACTAGTAAGGTTGTTATTGTTACCGAGTAAATTGTAGCAATGGTCATTCAATTTTAATCAAATTAGAGCAATGATCCCTCAACTAAAAATCCATTCCCATTGGTCCCTCAATTTATCAAAATATGTAGCTATAATCATTTTCATCAATTTCGTCAAAATTTTGTCAAAATAAGTTATGTTGGAATAACCATTCATATAATTAGGGTGCCTCCACTCATTAAAGTCTGTATTTATGGTCATTTTTGTTAACTACATTAAAATTTTTGTCAAAACGAGTTATGTAAGGACCATTGCTACAATTAAGTTAAAATTAATGGATCATTTCTCTAGTTGAATTAAAGTTGATTGACCAATGGTAATGAATTTTTAGTTGAGGGACCATTGTTGCACGTTTTGATGAGTTGAGGGACCAATGGTAATGAATTTTTAGTTGAGGGACCATTGCTCCAATTGAGTTAAAGTTAAAGGATCATAGCTACAATTTACTATATTGTTACCTATTAAGAACCTGTTAATGAATTACGTCGTTATAGAGTCACTTATTAAGAACTCAATAAGATATTGTTTGTCAGGCCTAGTTATTAGGCATGATAATTTATTGCATGACTCGTCAATCCAGCTCGAAATGACATAATTCCTTAATGTATCGGGTTGTTATCAGATCACCAACTAAGAGATTGTTAAAATAATGAATTTGACACGACACGACCTATTAAAATAATAAGTTTGACACGAAAAATACAAGCACGACAAACACGAGTTGTTTGCTAGGTCTACTTATTATATTGTATAGTTTGGAACTTCGGACTTAAAAATTGCTTTCAGAAAAGAATAAAATCTTATAAATAGGGCAACTTTATCCCACATGATGACATATATGGTACATTATTATATAGGACTAGGACTAAGCTCAATTCTCTCGATAATTAGTCCACCTTTAAGGTGCACACCCTTCACTTCTCTTGGGCTCATCGTTGCATCCTTTTCATCACACCCATCTTCCCGCTCACAGAGACCTCCGCCGCAATCTCCTCCGTCTACAATCCTTGATCTCGAAGCTCTTACCGCCTTCGGAAAATGTTCATGTTCTGATGAGGCTTGCTTCCTACTTTGATCATCGTGGTTGCTCAAGTAAATTGTACCTTGTGATTTGAAATTACCAATTTCAAGTGAAATCTCATAAGGTAGAGTGTCTAACCCATATGCACAATTGGCTAACTTTATAGTAAGATAGGCCCCATAGGCATTTTCGGTGATAGCACATGAGTATTTGTTCTGTCATGCGTTTCGATGAAAATCTCATTTGTTTTCTTATGAACTTGTAATTGTGTGACTTTGTCTCATTTGCTTTTGTTCTTTGTATCAAGTTAACCTATTTTGTTAAGTTGGTCAGGAAAATCGTTAGCTTGGTTATTGTAGAACTAAAGCTAAAACAAAGAAAATGTCGATTTTTTTGCTCTAGTTCCAAATAAGCCAAGTAAATTTACAATTTTCATGATCAACTTGACGAAAAGGAATAACTTTGGACACATAATGAAAGCGCAAGAAGTAAAGTCACACACTTACAAAAATGGGGTTATATACTTTAATTAAGATCATATATGATTAGGGTCACAAAATTGTTTTTTATGAAAGTAGATTAGGGTTAATCAAAGTATGAAAACCTTAATTCAAGACGAGGTCTCCAGTATAGAGGATGGCAGCCTCATGTAATGGAAAGGTCCCTTGCACTTAACATATACCATTTTAGGAAATTTCCCTATGAAGAACATTTGTGCTGTTCATCAATCAGAATTTAATTACTTGACTTCAATCAAAATCAAACAATTATTATACATATGTAATAGAAAACCCCTAAGCCGAGAGCGACATATACCTATACATAAGATACTATCCTAATGACATTCTCAAAAGCTTCACAAACTCTGGATCAAGACAATGTGAAGCAAAACCATTGAGGGTTTTGCATGGAGGATTTTTTGAGCAAAAAAAGGCACAAAAAAAGCAGAAGCAGGTAGCAGCAGCAAAAGCAGATTCTTCAGAGCGTTTGCTTTTTGGAGGGTTGTGTTTGTTGCGAGAATTCAAGCTTATCAGCAAGGATGTACCCCACCAGAAGCATGATTCACGGTGGAGGTTGTGAAGTTGAAGGTGGTGATATGAAAAAATGAAAGAGAACCGACATAGCTTTTTGTGTCGATTTCCACAGACGGCGCCAAATGTTGATGCACAAAACCGGAGGGGTCTTGGAACAACGTAAATCCGACCGTAAATTTGTAAGAAAGTAAATAATACAAGATGTATCGTGGTTCACCCCAATGTTTGGGCTACATCCACACTAATATTGTATTTCTCTGAGAGGATTGTGAGGGAGAGAGCCTCTGTAATGAATATGAGAGGCTTTGGAGGGTGAGAGGCTTTGGGGATCTCAAGCCCAAAAATTGACTTCCCTTAATGAGGAGAGTGAAGAGTCATTTTATAAAATAATGGTTTATCACTTATTACATATTTACCCCTCTATTTATTACATAATTACATTTGAGTCCTCCGAGTATTTATACGAGGTCTAAATACAGAGGCCCTAAGTATGGTACAAACACAGTTTAATAAGTTAAACTCTTAAAGACGCTAGTGCATCGACAGACGGTAGAACAAATATGAATTTTAACGACTAAACAAATTAAATTCATATTTGATCCCCCGCCTGTCAATGCAAAAGCAACCTTTTGGTGTATCTTCCATGCATCATCTCCTAATTAACTTGTTGCCAAAAGCTGCAAATGCAACAATTGTCAAGTTATTCACCATATACAAGTGTTACACTGTCACATAACAGTTTAAGCATTTAATATTGCTAGACTGTATTGACAAAAGAACATTACGTTTATACGTGATAATTTTTTAATGATGACGCCTACATTTTAAGCCAAAGTAAAATTCCAAAAAACTATTGATTGATCCATTATTTTACTTACGTTTATCGTCTTCAATTAAAATTTACCTTATCACCATCATCTATTAGGCTTGGACTGCATAACTTCATAAAAAAATCTTTGCTAGACATCTGGATAGAATCTCTTTGTGGTCTGATGGCAAAACTCTCTGCTACACACTATCCATATCGGCCGTGGAACGAAACGACGATGAAACTACGAGAAACGACATGCATCTCCCGGAGATGTGAACGATAAAATGTGCCCGAAGCAGTCTCCAGGCAAGCGATCCAAGTTCATCTCTCAAATAGGTGTAACATTACCTGGAGGGAAGCCATATAATTTATACTGCTACATTTTGTACCGAAGAGGGTCATCAGGTGATGTCGTTAACATGACAACATTTTCTTAAAAGTCCGGTCGACATCATGACAACATGCAGGCAACATATATTTGTCAACATCATGACAACATTATGAAAATGAACACTGGGAGAACAATAAAGTGGCCGTGCTCAAGTTGCGGAGAGCAACGAGTTTACCTTCACGTAGCGTTTCGATTTAATAATTCAATGTTTATGTGAACAAAAATTTCAGAATAGTATTGCTTCTACGCGACACTAATAATAATTTTTAAATATTGTAAAACCCGTTATTGGTTGTAGCCGATACTAACAATTATTTTTTAATAGTTTAAAACCCAATATTGGCTGGTTCCTATTACTTCACGTGACTCTCTCTCTCTCTCTCTTACACACATCACAGCACATCATTTTTTAATTTCCTTCTCTTTGGCCGGTTCCCTCACATGGGTACTTCACATCTCATTGACACACATGCCTCATTTCTCTCATTCCTCTCACTTTTTTTCCCCCTCTCTTTTCCGTCTCCATAAGAGCAACTCCAGCCTTGCTGGTTGCTCGGGCGTCAGGCGAGGAGAAAGGGCCCTCGGGCCGGTGGGAGCAAATTCAGCGGGGAAGGGCCCGAGTGAGGGTGGGAGGTTGAGCGAAGGGGGGGTGGGGAGTCGACGGGCCTGTGGCCCGAGGGTTTTGTATTTTTTTTATTTTTTTTGTGTCAGAGAGAGAGAGAGAGAGAGAGATAGCTTTTGTAATTTTTTATTATTTAAACAAACATAAAAAACTATTATTTTTATTGCTTATTGCCAGGGGGGAGGGTTCCAAGGGTGGAGATGTAAATGGCAATTACTGTTCATTAATGGTTATTACTATTCATTTAAGGCAGTTACTATTCAATAGGGTGGATTGAATAGTGGATTGCCAGGGGGGAGGGCTCCATGGGTGGAGTTGCTCTAACGTCTCTCTCTGTACCCACCCACTCAACCTTCGTTCATCCCTCTCTCTCTCATTCCTATTCTATCTCTTTTTCCTCGACTTCTCCATTTCCATCCCTCCATCTTCTTCTCTTTTGGGCGGGATATTTCCCCCCATTTTTTAAACGAAAAAGAGGATGTCAGTCTCCCTATTTCAAGAGGCTCGTCTCCTTCATTTATCTCTCCCTTCTTCCAAGCACACCCTAAAACCGTAGCTCCTCTCTCCACATTTTCTCAAACCTTAACCTCTGTTTCTGCAAACCAAACTTTAATCTTCCATCATCAACCCATAAAACCTCGTAACCACAGATTTACCGCATCACCATAAGGGTAGCAGCACCGATCTTCGTGTCGACGCACTCAAAGGTAAACTTCTCACCCTCCCTTGCTGATTCATGCACTCATGTTCATAGATTGAAATATACCATACAAGAAAAAAAAATCTTCAACTCCTCATGCACTCAGGTTCGTAGATCCATAATTTTTTAAAGGTATAAAACCTGAGTTTAATCTATAGAGATTAGAGCCCTAATGTTGAAGTAGTAAAGTATGGGAGCACTGATCTGATGGCAAGCATGGCAGCATGGAGCTGCTAGAATTATATATGGCAGCATGGAGCTGCAGAATATGGCAACATGGAGCTACAAAATATGCGATCTTCAACAAAGGTAAGCACGGGAAAGCATCATGGCAGCTGCTAGTATTATATGCAAGCATGGAGCTCTGATTAGTATTATATGTAATTGTTAGTTTTTTTTATCTTCATCTTGTAACCGGTTCTCTAATAGCTCATATATATGTGTTATTTGTACTTCCTTATTTATATGAAATAGAATACATTTAACAAGAAATTCTACATCCAAAAACCCCAGTTGAATTCTTGAATAAATTGAATCTGTGAAGTTTGCATCCCATGTATCATCTGTGTAGGAATGCATGATAATTATTTTATTTATCGAGATGTTGGGTAATGTCGGTTAGGACCGACAATAGATTGAGTATTTTATTTGTTAGCTACTAGTTGACGTTGGTACTTAATGTCGCTTGTATCCGACGCAAGCTTCGATGTCACTTTTAAGCGACGATGTTGTTCTTTTTTATTTTATATTACTTTGCTTCTTAGTGGCAGATTAATGGGGCTAAGCGACGTCAATACCCTTTTTGTGATGGTAGCATTGGTGTCGGTTCCTCTATCCGACATTGCACGATTTAATGTCGTATTTTTACTAAAAATCCAATAGTAATTAGGGTTTCTTGTCGGTTTTGCCATCGCCAGTGATATCCCCTTTTGTAGTAGTGTGCTCAAGAGAGGGAGAGAGAGATTCAGGCCGTTCAAGTTTTTTAAGTTTTGTGAAGTGAGTCAGTGAGATGGACTAATAGGAGCCATGGGCTCTAGACACAGAGATTCAAAGTGGATCTCAATCCATGAGAATTACCTAAATTTACACTAGTCGGAGCGCACCCTAGACTAAGGGCGGCTCCGTCTTTGCCTCCATAAGACAAGGAAATTTTTTTCAGAATTGAAATTTACGGAATACAAGAGGAGTCTTGAATTTACTCATGAGCTTGACCTCTATCAATACACAGTCTTTCATTATTATGTAAGTTGGGTTCAAATTGTCCACTATTTATAACTTTTTGATACAACCGATATTGGAGGAGAATGATTCGAACTTAAAACCTTGAGTCCAATAAAAAAACATTCTTAACCAACTTAACTAAAAATCTCGTGCCTAATATTCGTAGTTTTTTTTTTTTAACCGAAATGATAGCTTCATTAGAAATCAAAGGCATTACAAAAGACCTCCAGCAATGGAAGGGGCTAGCTCAAACAATCTTCTAGCAAGAGGTCGGCAATGAGATCCGGTACCTCAAGCCATCTACAAAACCATCACAGTGAAGAGCAAAACGCGCTAGACAGTGGCCGATACCATTGCTTGTCGACTTACGTGGGTAGAGTAACCTCCAGTGATTGTGGACAGGACAACTAGAATTTGAAATCTTCAACAATATGTCCAAAGGAGCCGTCCAAAAATGCAGTTACAATCTGCAGGGAATCGTTTTCCAAAGTTAAATTTTGCATACCCCCTTGATGACATGAGCTTCTTGTTGTGTCCATAGTTAAATTGTTCATTTGAAAGAGCTTTTAAAATGATTAAAAGTGTTTTCGGTGAAAATATTTTTGAAACTAATCCTAACAAAAATCCAAATAGATCATGAAAAAACACTTAAGATGTTTTATGCAAGAAACACATATCTGGTGTTTCTTCCAAACTACACTTAGTGCATTTGAAATCCAAAATCAATTTTACCAAAAAACCTTTCAATTATTTTAAAAGCACTTCCAAACAACGAAATTCTACTTTTGTCCATACAAATCGCACGAACTTGTGCTTAAATATTAGGCCATACATTGTTTTCGTCTTGCTTATTAGGTTAGAATCCGGTGTGCGTCATCGACCAAAAAAATATATATATAATTAAGAAGGGTCAATTATTAAACCAAAACTTGCAATTTTATCTCTGTGACTTGTCACATAAACTGCACAATCTAGCCGTGCACGACAAATTGTTGGTCACAAAATTTAACAAATATTAATCTTCTTCCTAAGAGTATTATTCCTTTATGCCTTATTTTACTAATTACCTTAATTATACGTAATTAAGGATTTTTGATAACCCACTATATATCCCTTTTCGGCATATTCGCAGAGGTAAGCACATAAATTTGAATATTCTTTTTTCTATTGATCCTCCATTGGGATATGCCGTATACGGCATCCAGTACTCTGAGTGCATGAACCCTAATGACATCATAGGTACATTTACCAAAATACCCTCAAGTTATTTTCATGAAAATTGACTTCTATATAGAGAGTTCCTTTAACTAATATTTAGATTTGAGTTCAAATCTCATGGGGGCAGACATCTATTAGAATCGCACCGGTCAAAGCAAACGTAATGAGTTGGTTTGGTTGTGGTTTTGAGCTTTCCAAATTGGTCTAAACCTAATCGTTTTGATCATTTTATATTTATTTTATTTTACATGTCTAGTATTTCACTAGCTAATAACTAAATAAATATGGTGAATTGTAACCGTATTAGTAATTAAACTTGACCAATCCAATTTGAACCGTATCCACTCCTAAAAATAATTGTTGATGAAAAAAGGTAAATTTATAAACTAAATTTAGGTCTAACTTTGATTGCATATGGTCCAGTATCTTAGTGGATAAAGTGTTGAATTTTTATTCATACGCGTCCCGGTTCGAAATTCCTCATTTCCTTAAATTACTGTAATAGTTTCGAAATCTCTCTCCCCCTCCTAATTATAGTAAATTAGAAAGGAAAAGAAAACTATGGAGGAGAGTATAATCTGAATTTTGGTTTCTTAAGTGAAGAATTACAATGAAACAAAAAAAAATTAGAAGGTTACTTTGGACAATGTGGCAAGCAGCCATTGCAACCATCATGAATTACAAATGTCATATCCGTAAATAATAGATCAACTGAAAAACTCCAATTAGTTGGGCTAATTTTTTTATTTCTCATTAGAGAAAATATTAATTCCAACTCTTTATGTGACAACCAAGGTCACCCAAACTGCATGCTACCTACTTCAGCTACTACCACGTGGAATAATAAACGAATTCAAATCGAAGAATGAGCACGTGTCATTCTACTAACCAAACATCATGAAAAACCCCTGGGTTCAAGTTCACCCAAACCAAAAGCCCGCGTTCCTGAATTTCCCGGGAGTTCTGCAAACTATAAAAACCGCTCCATTTGACCATCAAGCTCTTGTTTCTTGATTTATTTCATCTGGTTTTTTCTTAAAAATTCCAAAAGTCTCCATCTTTGGCCTGGGTTTTTCTCAAAATTCCGAAAGCAAGAACTGTCGGATGTCGTCGCAGAAGCTCATTGCCAACGGTTCTGTTAAGTCCGATGCAGTGAATATGAACGTGGGGCCTTTCTCGTCC